GCTACCCTGTCGGTCGGAGTTAACTTTACGTTACTATGGTGCGGCACATCTCCAGCAGGTCGGTGCTGGCTGATTACGTGTTAGCCGTCACGGTGAGTCGACAGTCCAAGACAACGACAAGCAAGATGCATCGTCAGCACACAGTATCTGCTGCGGCTCAGACTAGGCACACTCATTCGATGCTATGCGATGTGATGCGATACGATGCCACATTATGCCATACAAGCCATGATAGATTTATGGCTGCCTGGTCAGGGTTCAGACCGTTTCAATGGTTCACGCGGTGATTAGATGATTTAGGTGATTAGAAATGATTCATCCGTGCGACTATCTCCTATGCATTCTTCCCCAGACCCAGATCTGCGCTCGTGTGATTCCTAATCAACCCCAATGCGTCTTGCAATTGTCATCACCAATCCCGTCCCCTTCAGTTAGACACCCTACCCAGCTCCAGCCTAGCTCAACCTAGCCTGAGACGACGATGACTCCTCTCCTGCTGCGCCCGGGGTTCTTTCATCTCCCCAATCTCCGCCTTTTTACCGACAATGCCACTGCCAAACTGCAGCAGCCTGATGACACACCAGCCAAGCCAAGTCGAATCAACCACACCTGCAGGTGACAGCTTACGAAAGACACACAAGGGGAAAAAAAGGTACCTCAAGTGTCGGATTCCACCCGATTCTCTTGTACCTATGGGCACCATGGCCCGCGTCCAATGCTACCCTGGCGACGGGCCCGACTGCAAATCTTCACGAGAAAATCTTCACAACGCCTAACAGGCGACAGGCCGAGCAGGGCTAGCAGTGCAAGAAAAGCGCCTTTCCAGAAAATTTGATCTGTGCATCTCCACTTCGCCATCTGGAATTTTCTTCTCGATCAGCCCAACCCGTGAGCCACAGAAAAGCCGTGCCTGATTTTTCCCCCACCCTGTCGAGCTCCACAGTGACAACGTGCAAGTCTCGAGGTACCGTAGCTGCAAGCGGAGCCAGTGCCTTTGTGTGCTGTCCCATATACTCAATCTACTGTAGGCCTCCTTAGATGGCTCCAGTCTCTTCGGCGTCTCCCGATGTAAGACGCACACAAAACAAAATACTGGGCACGTCTATGAGCTGTTCATTGCTGGGGGAATATTTGCTGAGGCTGTGATGGGAAGCGTATTGCGTGCGTACTACACGCGTGCACACTGAGCCATCATGACGAAGTGCGATACGATACGAATACGCATGCTGGTGGTCTATTAGTCTACTAGTCTACGCGCACTCAGCACAGGCGTATTCTAGCTGAGCCACGATTGCAACTCCGTTGGAACCCAAAACTCCATGTATGTGAATCCCGACCGACCCCCAATTGCGGTCGGCTGGGAGATGCGCGCTCTTTACAGCCCGAGCCCGACCAGGCAGCGAGGTTGACCGGGGGACAATGCAGTATACGTGTAAAAGACACTTCTCAGGAGCCAAGGGTTACTGCCCGGCTCCGTCCCTCACCCGGTGACTCTTCAGCCTTCACACGTGCGTTGGCACTGACGACGTAGCGCTCAGCGGAGACAGAAAAGCCGCGGATCGTCCGGTGAGCTTAGTTTTTGGCCCCAAACCTTGAGGCGCCTACAATATCTAGTCCCCCCCAGATCGCCAGCCAGGTAGGTAGTGTAGCTCGGCCTCGGCCACAACGGCTGGCCGAATGTTCATCCCGAGGCCCAGGCATGTGGGCACTCGCCGTTGGCTTGTCCCCATCACTGATTCTTCTAATCGTTCCCGCCCTGCCGGGACCCCTCGACTTCGGCTACGGCTAACTCTCGGCTACCCTAGCGTGCGACAGCGGCTCTCGTCTCTGTCTCCTGGGCCCGGTGACGAGAGACCTAGCCGACAGAGCCGTCGCGCCGGAGGGGTTCGGTTCCGGGCCGCGTTGTTGCGGTGCGGCCGACCTACCCTTCGATGTGAGCACGAAAGTGTTGATGAGAGTGAGGGCTGTGTCTGTCTGTGAGCATGATCGGGCACATCATCTTGCTGTACCGTAGACCGAATCCCGCCTGTAGCGAAGACTGGGCGTCTCACTACAGCAGACCACAACCAAGATTGAAAGGTCCATGCTGCTTTTTTTTTTTCCCTCTCACAGACCCACCTGTAGGGCTGAACGAACTGCCCGGGGGGGACGACGCACCCTCCTCCCCTCAACTGCTTGCTTACTCTACGCACTGAACCGCCTCGCAGCTCTGGCTGCTTACTGTCGTGCCTGGTGGTCCTGGATGACACCGCTCTCGCTTGTGCCCGCAGGGCAGGTCCTGCAGCTCTTAGCCCACACCGACACTCTGGTAACATGATGACCAAGGCTGTGCAGTGTGTGTATGCGGTGAGATTGGAACCGACTGAGTTATTGATCTTCGGCTGCCCCCGCGAGAGAGGCGAGCAGTGGCCGGGGATACGAATTAGGTATCCTGTATACGCGCCGGGCTCCTGCGTCTCTGCTGCAGGATACGATGCGCCGGGCGCGCCCGTGTATTTCCCTTCGCGGTGCGGCCGTCTTACTCCCTTGCTCCGGCGGTCTGGTGCAGCACCAGTGTGAAGGCCTGCCCTAAAGTCCCTCGGAAATGCATGGCCTTCATCAATGGAACCTGGCTGTGATGCTCCATGGTGTTGCGGGTAGGTCGGCAGGGCAGCCAAAAACTTGGACGATGTGCTCTGACCCGCCTCGAAGGCGCGAGGGCGAGAAGCCGACTGTCGGCTTGCCGGTGCCGGTGTGTGGGACGTGTACACACGCAACATATGCCTCAGTTACGATTGGCAGCTTCGAAACTGCGGGACGTGTCGCCGACGACGCCCGTGATGCTACGTCGAGGATCCCGAGACCTGCCGCTTGGGCGATCCTCCACATGTTCTCCCTCTGCTCTCGAAGTGGGAGTGTGATATGCCTTCACCGTCGCCTTGCAGGGTTGGAGCACATGAGTTAATTTGTGGTCTTACTCATCCCGAGCTTTCCACCCTCTTACCGTCCCGTTGGCTTTTCGTACCCTGCAGGAATGCCACACTCCCTCCATCGATTGACAACCCTGCAGGGCCACGAGGTTTGATGACCTTGGGAGGAATGTCGTATGCAAGTCAGACGGTGGCCCTGCGACACTACGTAGGGCGTACTTTTTTGTGATGCAGTATTGACCCGTGCCCGCTTCTTACCAGATCCGGTCACCGTCTCGACGGCACGTTGCCTTGGGCTGTGTAAGCCACGTCTCTGCTTCGCCCAGCTTGGGATTCGAGACAATCCTGAGAACAATCCAATCTCTTGTGTTTTCGTGTTTCGCACTGCAACGTTCATCTGCAGGTCCTTTCAATTGACTCATTTCGCAACGCAGTCGAGTTTGCAGTTTAACTCCGCTTGGCAGAATGTCGAATGTTGCTCATGTCGGCGAGTTTAGGTGATAGCTCGCGGCGTTTTCGGCGATATGGGGCAGGTAGCCAGACTGCCGATCCCTGCCTGTTTTTCTTCTTTTTTGGTCTTGGCTCTTTTTGGTACCTGGCTGATGGTACCTGGATGTTGGTACTTCGGCGCGGAATTAAAAATGCTCGGTCGGAGAGACCCACCAGTCCGGCGCGCCGGGACGATTGGCACGACTTCAACTCGTGACGCAACACAACCTCTGGCAGATCTCATGGCCAGCCGGCAATCTGGCCATGTCCTCGTCGGGACCGTTGGCTTCCCCGTGCTTAAGCAAAGCTTACTTCCGTCTTGAGACGGCGCGCTCGTACTCGGGACATGTAGTCGCACAGTTAACTTGAGATGACTTTTGCCAGTCTGTCATCGGGCTAAACATAACCCCCGACGCCGGCCACAGAGCGTGACAAGCTTCACGAGCGGGATTCAGGGCTGTTTGACCAGGTCTTAATGGCAACGTTGTTGCATATGGGCTGATGACCCGTAGTTTAGCCAATTGACATTCCACTGGCTGACACGGACACTGTTCCCCTGAGCAGCCTGGACAATGAGGAACTCTGAGTGATGCCTGCTAACTCGTAACGGCCACCGATCGTGTTATAATTCCCACTACCAAGACTTTGTTCAAACGAGCGTTGTGAGGGAGCAGGTATCACGCAGATGAGAGGACAAGCCACAGCACTCGTCACCCACCCTGCTCTTGTCAAGTTGACACGCGGTGGGCAAAGGCGGACAGCCAACCAGCCATTCCCGCTGGCACGATTCCCCAGTATCCCGAAACCGAACACCTGGTGCCGTGGCTCCACCGAGACCACATCCCGAGCCAAACCCGCCCGCCGGCCACACACACCCATCGCCCCACGGCTTTAACGTTGCTTGGCTGCACGGTGAAGACCTCGGTGAGCGTATGTATGTGTGTGATTGTACGTGTGTTTGTGTGTGTATGTCCATAGTGTGTGTCAAAAACGAGGTTGATCATCTTGGACAATAAACACTGATATGCCAGAATCTGAAAATATCCCGGCCAAGCCATTATTTCTAACGGCTTATTACCAATCACGGCAAATCCTCTCACGGTAACAAAAAGAAAAGGGCTGATGGATCTGCTCCCCTGAATCTGACGCCAGGTCCTCCCCCAGCCCTACGGCATGATCCCTGTTTCCCGCTCCTGTCCCTTTTCACCTTACCTCAGCTCAGGGGCAGGATTTCATGCGCGGTTGCGTTCCATCTTTTTCAGCCCCACGGGCGGTCGTGGTGAGTCTCATGTCTTTTTTGGGGGCCAAGAAAGGTTTGTGCGGCTCAGGTACGGAGTATGTGTTACTCCATCGACCTTCCTCAAATCTGAGCTGGTCAATGCAAGCGATAAAAGCTGGTGGGCTACCTCTCGCAGTACCTTGGACTGTGCGTCTTGTCTGGGATATGGTGCTTTCTTAGCCGCCAGCGGTCACACCAATGTCGGTTATGCCAGGTACACTGTCAAGGTCTCATGGGATTGTCTTCACATAGTTAGACTTGTCTTGGCAACAAATATCTCGATATGCTTCTGACGATGTAGATAGGGGGCAATGACAGAGAGCTCACGCCTTTGCCCTGAGCTTTACCTTGCCCCTCTTCCTCTTGCTGCCAACCTCCCTGTCCTCCTCGATGTCCAATAGGGCCTCCCGTTTCTTCTCGCTCACGGCGTTGAGCGAGTCCCTGATAACCCTGGTCTCCAAGTTGACTCCCTCCTCCTCCCACTTGACCATCTGCCGTCCCACCCGTTCCTCCACGGCCAGGACAAGGTCGACATCCCTCTGCCCCACGAATGTGACCGCGTCGCCCTTGCGCCCCGCACGGGCCGTACGTCCCACCCGGTGGATGTACACGTCCGGGTCCCGCGGGATGTCGTAGTTGATCACCATGGCCACCTCGGGGATGTCGAGACCACGGGCCGCGACGTCGGTCGCCACGAGGATGCGCGACACGCCCGCGCGGAAGCGGCTGAGGTTGTCGACGCGCTGCCGCTGCGGCAGCTTGGAGTGCAGCGAGGTGACCGGATGCTCGAGCAGGTGGAGCAGGTGGTGCAGGTACCTGGCCGTGTCGGTCCTGTTGCAGAAGATGATGGTGGGCTTGTCCTTGTTGCCGTCGGTCTGGAGGAACTCGTGCAGGTAGTGCTCGCGGTGCGTGACCGGCACCTGGAGGTGCATCTGGTTGAGCGAGGGCGGGATCGCCAGCGTCTCCGTGTCGACCTCGCACACGAAGACTGGCTGCTTGCCAGGTTTCACCGGCATCTCCTTGAGCGCACGAACCTCCGGGGTGACGGTCGCTGTGAATAGTAGCGTCTGGCGCTGAGACGATGGCGGTAGCACGTCCAGGCACTCCTCGACATCCGGCAGCATGCTCCCGGGCCCATCAGCCGCAAGCAGGCGGTCTGCTTCGTCGAGGACAAGAAACTTGACGCGTCGGAGGCCGCAGATCGTGTCCTCGCCCGAGGTGCGGATGTGGTCAGCCAGGCGGCCGGGAGTGGCGATCACGACGTGAGGACGCTCCGCCAATGCGATTGCTTGCGCCCGCATGTCGGCACCGCCTGTGATCAGCAGGGCCTTTAAAGTCTGAGGAGAAGATATGGCCTTGAACTGTTCGAACAGCTGCAGCGCCAGCTCGCTATCACCGTGGGTTCAGCGCTTGATACTCAAACGAGGTAATAGGGATGAATTGTACTTACCGCGTAGGTGTCAGTACAAGGGCGTAGATGGCGGATGGGTCCTCAGCCCATTTTTGGAGGATGGGAACTGCAAAAGCGACCGTCTTTCCCGAACCAGTCCTGCTGCCACCAATACAGTCCTTGCCCTTCAATATCTCGGGAATACAACCCTTCTGAATACCGGTAGGTCTCTTGATGGCCATGTTGGCCAAAGACTGCACCAACCAAGGACGGACGTTCAAAGAGTCAAAGGTCGTGTAAGGATCTATTGGCGCCGTAGTTCCAGATCCAACAATGACCTCTTTCGGTGTGTTCTGCACAACGCTGGGCTTAGAGACAGGCTCAACAGCAGCCGTCCGTTTAATACGCGACGACGGTGCACTGAATGAGGCTGGTGCTCGCGGCAGGTCGTCTTCGTCTTCGTCTCCATCCTCGTTTCCCTCGCGTTTCGGAGAGTGTTTGCGCCTTTTGCGAGGTGCATCGCTGTCCAGAGAGTCTGAATCCGAGTCTGCTTCCGAATTGCTTCCACTCCTGCGGTCAGCCTCGCCCTCACTCTCACTCTCGCTCTCACTTTCAGACCCATTAGCGCTGCTGTTGCTCTTGATTTCGTCGACCTCAGATTCTGACACAGAGGGCGACTCCACTACAGGGGCCTTGGCCTTGGACTTAGTCTGCACCCTGCCCATGGCCTTATTCTTCGAAGGCATATTCCTGCGTTTGGTGGTCGTCGTCTAGTCTGTGTCTGGGTATGGATGTGGATGTGAAAAAGTCACTGAAGAAAACTGAGAGTGGGTTCGATCACGCTCCACCCGGCCAATGAGGGCTGCTCCCGAGCGATCTAAGCGCAGCTAAGGCACGCCCGTTGACGCGCGCTTCAGGAACCCGGCAGTCCCCACTGGACAGTGCTACTGTAGCAAGATAGCATTCTTTGGGTTACCTCCGCTGGGACAATCTCCCTGGAAGAATCTAAGCTTTCCTCCTGGGTAAACTCGCGTAGGATAACCTCTTAAGGCCAGGTCTGCTACTTCATATAGGGTAGGGTATTAATGGGATACTACGAGATAAGCGCCAGTGTTCGAGTAGGCCTTTTCTTAGCCCTTCTCTGCTTGCTTTCATATGATACCCAAAGGTTTGGGTTTCCCTGCAAGCTTCTCTAGAGGGTGGGTCCGGCGTCGTCTCGACCCAAAGAATGTACTATCAATGCGTATTCTATGTTGCCCTGTGTGGTGCAGTTCAAGTCACGAAAAGTGCAGTATCTTTACGCATATACAGTAGGCGTGGCTTGGGAACCCCAGCTTGGTGCCAGGACAGCCACCAAGACCTAAGATCAGGGAGGGAACAAGGCCCTGCGGACGGCGTTGGGACCGTTGCGTGCTCGAGTTGAACGTAGATACTAATTAATGAGCGAAAGCGAGACGTAGAGTCGGCAAATAGTTAGGTGCTCCCTGGAGAGATACAATCGCTGGCGGCGGAGACCGAAGTCGTAAAGAGTAGATGATGGTTCGACCGAGCACCATATCCGTCCAGGTCTGTAATTTGCATGCATGGGCTGGCGATGCATCACATCCCGTCACATCTGCCAACACATGACCAGATGGCCAATGGTGCGGGATCTGCAGATGACCCCTAGCTCGATTGAGATTCAATTGCGGATCAGAGGAACCAGGGCTGCATGGCAGCATGGCCGGGTGAGAACCCGACACCTTGGACCTCTCCATCTTTTGACCCTCTCGCCAGATGAGCAGGCTCACAGGCTCGCAAGCTCGACTCGCAGAGCAACGAATGGGACGGCAAGGGTAGAGGCTATTGGATCCTTTGGTGGAGAATGGGTGGGCAAGACAGACGGCTGCTGGTGGTCAGCGGGGGAGATATGGAGCATCTGTCTCACTGTATGACGAGACTAGGCATTTGGAGTAGAGACTCGTGTGTGTTGTGTGGATAGAGGCAGCTAGATGGTGAGAATCATCAGCAATGGGCCCTTGGCCTGCTTCCTTTCATCTCTCATGTCCCATCCTGCCCCGCCTAGCCCGCAATACTTCTTGCGCGATACGTACAGGAAGCAGCAGGGATGTGCACATTGGGTCGGGCTGGCAGGCTGGGTCGAATCTGGACGATGCGATGGTGATGGGTGACGGTGATGGTAGATGATGATGATGATCGGCCAGGTGTGCATATGACAGGATTCACGACGGTATCAACAGCCGCCGGCCCAGGCTGCTGGGGAACAAGCCGTCTTGCGACAGGCTGACGGGGCGTGTGCAGGCTCCCCCTTCTGCCCCTGCCATCCCTGCAGCCCACCTCAACCCACTGTCAGGCACGTCGGATTGGGCCAAACAGCCCAACCATGGGAGAAAGTGGGAAAGCAAGCGACCCCTCCCTCACTGCCCGTCCCGCCTGCCCACTGTCTGAGGCGAGGTGGCTCCCACTTTCCCCCCCGGTCTGCCCCAGTTCTGGGCACTGAGGTCCTGAGCTCTGCGAGTCTGGGCCAGTTGCCTGTCGTGTCTCCAAGACTAGGACTCCGTGCGGTCAGCTCAGCCTGGAAACCCCCTCCACCCAACCTTGGAAAGACAGACACACCCAGGCGGACAGCAGGCGGACGGACGGACAAACACTGCTATTGCTGCTGCTGCTGCTGCACTGGAGTCAGTAGTCAGACTGTCAGCTTTTCTTTCTTTCTTTCTTTCCCCTCGACACATTTCCATTTCTGCCCAGAGACTGCCAACTTCTTTTGCACCGTTGGTTGCTGAGCCATGCAGAGCTTGGATTCTCCCCATAGCAACTTTTTGGCGCTCAATTCATGCTCCCCGGCCTAAGCCACTACCAGCCCGTCACTGGAGCCAGCCGACGTTGCATCAAATCGACCTGGATCCAGCAACCGGCTCGACTCGTCTCGACACGACACGACACGCCGTCGCCGCAGCATCCTCCATTGCGAGTCTCCTACCCAACGGACGCGTGGTCTTCTGGCCGTCCAGCTCGCGTCTGAAGTCATCGGCTGCCTCTCGCTCTGTCTTAAACTACTTGATTCTCTACGGCACCGTTGGCATTGATCGTCTGAGCTTGTGTCCCCCCTTTTTTTACCCGTCCAAGCAAGCTCTACCCCTCGCAGCGGGCTCGTTGCTTGCCCACTGCCCAGGAAAGCCTATCCAGCATCCACTCACTAGACACAGCCGCCTGGTGATTCCACCTCGGCCGAAGCTTCCCGCTCTCACCGTTGAACAAGTCTCCGCCGACCCAGAGGCTCTGCTTGCGTCCCCTGCCCCATGATGCATGAGCAAGGGAACTCTAACGGCGAGCCGGCCGCACCAGTAAGTTTTCTTTGTCCCGTCCATCCCCAATCGGCCTGAATTGTCACCCCTTTGAGCATCTCTTATATATACCAGACTGGGCCCATCTTCGTGGCTTTCAACAGCAATCAAAACACTAACTCGGTCGTTGCAGCACATGTCGAATCCACAGGAGCCACAAGCACCAATGCTCTCCCAGTCGCCGAACCCCGTACCCATGATGAACGCCCCAGCGCCTCTTCTTCGTCCCGCCATACCCGGTTCAAGAGGCAGCGGCGCCCGCACACCTCGTCTGGGGCTCGCTATACCGCCCTCTCCAAATGTCAAGCCTGTAGGCGCCGGCGGTGTTGGCCAGTCCTCACGACCACCCTTGCCCAAGCTTAACCTAGCTACTCCTATGGGCACATCCGTGGCCCCTCAAGAACACCAACCCTCGCGGGGCTCTCAACCGGGTCACAGTGCCAGTGGTGGTAGCGAGAGCAGCGCTGCACACAGCCGGACGGGTAGCTTCGGGCCGCTGGACGGCAGAGGCAGCAACCCAACGTCGGCTGGCTCGCAATATTCCGCGCTCTCCTTCGCCTCGCAATATGGTCTAGGCGGTGCAAAACCACATGGCACGCCCGACCCTGTGAGCGCCGTAGGCTCTCTATACTCGAACGCCAGCGAGGGCGGTGCCGGCATGGAGCGTGAGGGCAGTATGCACGGCTTGGAGGCTTCCTTTGATAAGATGAGCTTGGAAAAGGCTAGGACACTTGACGCAGAGGACTTGGACGACGAGGGCTGGCGGATCGTGAGCATGGAGAACCGAATCGTTGAGCTCGGCGGCCTCGGTGAGGGTGCTGGTGGCGCGGTTACGAGGTGCAAGCTTAAGGGAGGCAAGACTGTGTTTGCTCTGAAGGTAATGCTCCTGATTGCGGCCTCTGCTTTCTCTTTTCGCGCATTCACTAATCAGAAGCCCAGGTGATCACAACGAACCCCGACCCAGATGTCAAAAAACAGATCCTGCGAGAAATCAACTTCAACAAGGGCTGCGCGTCAGAGCACATCTGCAGGTATTACGGCGGTTTCCTCGAACCATCTACTGCTACCATCTCTATTGCCATGGAGTTCTGCGAGGGTGGTTCGCTCGACAGCATTTACAAGGAAGTGAAACGGCTCGGAGGCCGGACGGGCGAGAAAGTCCTAGGCAAGATTGCCGAAGGCGTGTTGCAAGGCCTGACCTACCTCGAGGCCAAGCGCATCCTCCATCGTGATATCAAGCCGTCCAACATCCTCCTCTGCCGCAACGGTGAGGTCAAGCTGTGTGACTTTGGTGTCTCTGGAGATTTCGGTACCAAGGGCGAGGCGAACACATTCATCGGCACAAGCTACTATATGGCTCCAGAGCGGATTACGGGCCAGACGTACACCATTACCTCCGACGTGTGGTCCACAGGCGTGACACTGCTTGAAGTGGCGCAGCACCGGTTCCCATTCCCGGCCGACGGCACAGAGATGCAGCCTAGGGCCGGTTTGATCGACCTGTTGACTTATATCGTGCAGCAACCCATTCCCAAACTGAAGGATGAGCCCGAGGCGGGCATCTTCTGGAGTGACAACTTCAAGCATTTCATCGAGAGCTGGTGAGTAGCTTTCTTTCAATGAGTACTGGACAGACCAACTGACCAACGTCGAACAGCTTGGAGAAGAACCCCAAGCGCCGCGGCATGCCATGGAAGATGCTAGAGCACCCATGGATGACGGAGCTCAAGACGAAACGTGTCAACATGGGCAAATACCTGTCTCAAGTATGGGGCTGGGACGATCCCAAGGGGTCAAAGTGATGAAGATTGTGCGGCGAAGGGAGATACCATTTTGCATTGGGACGAAAGCATTACATTCTGAGCAGCAAAGATGAGCGACATTTGACCGAGAAACTTTTACCAACCACACGCCATATACTACCCCAGCGGCCAAGCGCATTGCACGGGTCACTTCGAATCGATCACACCAGAACGGCCAGCATTGAAGCATTTGGAAATCACATAGCGCGAGCCTCTGGCATTGACAAACATGATCCGCATCTTGGATAGGCCAGCAACCATTCACACTACCTACCTCATTAATTGCTGAGGCCCTTGGATTGGACAGGATCGCCACGCGGAAGGAGATTGGTACAGCCTCTGCAACAAAAAGCGAGAGATACTGGGAGTGAGGCAGAACCGTAGGTGGCCTGGATACTTGAACAAACAAATTCCAAAAAAAAAAAATTCCACGCAGGAATAGGGAGGCTCACAGGATCACGGAGTCATGAGTGGGAATGGAAAGATATATTCAAAGTTTGTGCCTGCTATCTTGCTGTGAAGTCCATGACCGAACACCGAATTCGACTTGCCCCTTGTGGTGAGCCAGTGCCACGGCCACTATCACACATGCTCTCACTGCAAGGTCATGAGCTCAATGGCCTATACCCTCCCCAAGTTCAGCACACCAACAAACACATCTCCTGGATATTTGCAAGAGCAGCTCAGGGGTTAGTGTCTCTGGTGACGACAGCTGTACATTGTTTCCTATCTTTGTCCACTTCGTGATTCTCTCTTATCCTACATCAATGGTTCGGTGAAGCTTTTGGGGTATCTAATCAAACAACCTACCCAGGAGAACACAAGTTGTCCATCACGCCAAGCCAGACCATGTTCGAGTGTACCTTGGGGGTTTAAGTTCCAGACACACACTTTTGACCCCAATGATGAAGTCCTTCCAAGCCGTAAAATCTCCCAACAACAGGCCCTTGCCCTGTTCAATCACTAATCATTGGAAATTGAGACGAGCCAGATTCAAAACGAGCCGCTGCCAGCGACCAATTAGAAACTCATTTGATACATCCTGCAGAACCCACTTCGAGCTCCGAGTCAGAAGCAGGGAGTCCAGACCAAACCAAAGTTGAGGAACCGAGTGATGTGCAGGCGGGTAGTGGAGATCCCTGAGACCAACGATATCCGTCGGAGTTTTCAAGAAGGGGATGTACTGATCGTAGCCCCCGCATCATTGGAAGTAGTGTGATCCATAACATGTTGTCGACCCTCGAGTCATTTGCACAGGACCGTGGTCGCCTGTGCTTGGTTGTGCAAAGAAGGACAAAAGAAACCATGAAGACTGTTAGTGTGGCTTTGATCAAGTCATCGCGAATGCCTATGAAGAGACAATAGTAAAAGAAATCGGAATGTTGAAGCACAGTTATGTGATGTGCTGTTGGAATATTCTTCAAGACGGGTTGAGGGGGCTGCCCTCCTTCTCCGGCTCAACCTCAGCCATGAGCTCACGGAGAACAACTGTTGCGTAGGCGCTGGAGTTCAGGGAGAACTCAAGGATGACCGCAATTTTGATCGTGCTCTCATCCACTCCTGACAGATCTTTCTGGGTGAAAGACTCAACAGCCTGACTGCTCATTCGGTCGTCAGGTCTCTTCTTGAACCACTCTGCTTTGGGTAGAGCCGATGCAGGTGTTGACTCCTTCTCGATAGAAGCGTCCTGTATGCCAGCACCTCTCTCGGAACCACTGCTGTTGGGGCGACTTGCAGTTTTGGAAGTCTCTGGACCCTCGGCCGCTGCCGCCGTCTTCGTCGAGGGTATTGCTAAGGCGGGATCCTGCAGGTGTTTATTAAGTGCCTTCATCGCGAGTGCATTCTGGAGGGCCAAAGCCTCAGGCGTGGGCACTTCGGCTTTGGCACACGGTGCTAGGAGCTCAGATTTGGGCGTCTTTGGTGTAGCTGCGAAGCCAGCATTGCCAGACTCCGGGACAGTTGGCTGGCGATCAGGCGCCACAGGCTTCGCTGGCTGCTTGCCCTCACCTTCAGTATCATCAGCGAAGAGGGGTGCGCCTCCGCTGGAAGCTGTAGATCGCGCAGGTTCCTCGGACTGCGACTCCACAGGAAGAACCTCATGCTTAGTCTTAATTCTCTTGAGACTGCCATCCTCGGATCGCTGCACCCAGACTTCGTTGACACGAGGTTCAACCTCTGGGTTCTCTTTCATTTGGCGACGGCGCTCTGCATCGATTTTGTCATCTTGCACTGCGGGATTCGCCGCGAAAGTATTCCAACCGATGGTGGCGGCCAGCCCCTCTGGATCTTTGGTGATCTCCTGGGCCTTCAGCTCAGCCTTGCGCTGCTCGATAAGATTGGCATCGGTCGGCCGCATCTGCTCGTTATCGTCCGTGTAGGTACGAACTTCCCACTTTGGCTCTCCAATGAATCTGCCTACGATATGGCGGTAAGCCCCACTAAGACTGAAGTCCTTCTTCGCTCGGCGCATCTGGTGGGGATTCAGTCGACCATTCTCCGGCCTCGACATGAACTCGACATAAAACTCGCCGGTGTCATTGTCCGGGTAGATGACGTCGTAGCCAGGGCAGGGTAGCACAAGGTCGAAGACGGTAAACTTGCCACTCTGGACCTCGGCCTCGGTGAGATGCCGGGCCCTCTGGAACTGAGGCTCATCAGATGCCTGTGCATCACCTCCGTCCTCGGCCACCTCGACAGCCGCTTTCTCCGAGGTGACCAACACCAAATCTCCAGGAATCACCTTGGATCCGTACTTAGCCCAACGATGAGAGACGGCATGGTTCCAGACATATGATTGGTAGGCATGAAGATACAAGTTCCGCATTCCGCGTGTGATGGTGAGGATTGCGCCCTGGGGATCACGCGGGTTCTTAGCAAGGTGACTGATGACGTTCATCTCCGAGCCGAAGCGCTTTGGCATGTATTGAAGCGCTGCCTTTGCATTCTTGGTTGTCTTCCACTGAATAATGGCACGGACGCGGTTGATCTCATCTCGATTTGCCGGAGTTTCCTCAACAGAGCCAGACATCACTTGGCTCATGTACTCCGCATCGACGTGAAGAATTCCGTCAATTACGGCATCATAGTCTTCCATCAACAACATCTTGCCGAGCTCGTGTGTTCCGACAAAATGGGTGCCGAATCGCTGGAGACCAAAGTAGTTGATGAAACCATATTTTGCCATTTCAGAGACAGCAAACTCAACAGCCTGAGTGGTCATTTGAACCCGACGCTTAAGCGAGCACCCTTGACCACGGCTGACAGAGATATTCTTGACAGTGATCTTAAACTCATTGCCGCCATGATCGCCGAGCTGTATGGGGTACTTGCTGTACTTGTAGTCACCCATCTTGATGGCAGGAATCAGGCTGTTGAGAAAATCAAGAGTCTGGTGCTTGGCTCGGAAGACGCTGATGCGCTGGACGGTGGCTGCACGCCGGTCCTTGGTGCCAGCGAAGCCAAAGTTGTTCGCCTTGACCTTGAGCATACGGGCAATCTGGTTGACGGCGTCCATGGTATCTTTGTTCTCCTTATAAAGGGTGAAGTGAAGGTAGTCGCCGCCCATCTTCTTGAACGAAGGCTGGGTAGAACGATGCCGCTGGCCACCAGCGCGGGAGTTCTTCGTGAAGGGGTTAGCGGGAACAGCAGTGATTATTCCATCGCTTCCCGTCTCTGTTTCTAGTCGCGATTGAAAGATGCGACGAATTTCCTAGGCTGTTGTTAGTCATGATCTGGATCTAAGTCACTGATTCTTACTTGATGAATTTTCCCTCGCTGGGAACGCTCCATGGGAGGAAACTTGACAGAATTGGTCCTAGGATCAAGTCGAGTTTTGCCAGCTTTGCCGACAGTCTCATAAAGATTCTTCAGCGCTTGTGTGGTGGGCTCATCCAGGAGGCCGCAGAGAGTTTTCAGGTCCTCGTCGCTGACCTGGGGGGACGAAGAATCACTTGTGGACGCCGGAGCATCACCTGTAGGGGCCTGAGTGGTGTCACGCTGGGGTCTTTGGTGATATTCTCCAGGAATATGGACGTCCTGTACAGCAGTCAGCTACCTATTTCTCAGAAGTTGGCGAGGTGAATTAACTTACTGTGTCCGTAGGCCTGGCACCCAGGTTGTAATCTGAGAGATGGAGGACCTCACCATTCTTCTGGATTTCGTTCACAAGAAAATCAGTGAATCTAAGTTTTTTTTAGTTAGCTTCAGATTCGCAGCTACAGTGACAGGTGAGGCCGAATGGGCGTGAGTGAAGGCTGCACGATCCCGTCGGAGGCACCATAAGCTGTGGTCAAGCAATAACAGCATTCACATACCTCTTGCGAACGTCACCATGCCAGCCATGATTTTGAGGAGAGCAGAAGTAAAGAAGTCCCAACTTCTTCTCTGAAGCAGCACGAACAGAAGGCATGTAGTTCATTGGCTGGTTTGGGTTGTGGGGCTGCTGTGCTGCGTGATGAGGTCGATCATGATGACGATTTTGATTGCGAAAAGACTGCTGATGGGTGTCTGTATCCTGGAAGGACTGAGAGGTCTGCTGTGGAGGGCTGGCCATTTTGAATTGTTTCTGAGGCAAAGCTCTCGCAGGGCAACGAGTGTGATGAGTGTATCAAGGCCAAAGAAAGTTGAGGTGTGTGATGCTGAGAGCAATAGGCCTCTCGAGCTGCGAAATGGAGTGGTCCTGGTCTCGTGACAGCAACTCGAGATCAAGCGATCATCGATGCGTGGAGGACGTGTCTAAAGGATCGGACGCCACTGCAAAGTCGGCCGTGTGAAGCTGGTGTTCCAAGTGAGAGGGACCGGTTGATCTTCAGTTGGTGGGTTTGTCAATTGAACGGACCCTGACTTTTTGGAAGCGAGGCTTCTGATGCCCCTCCAAAAAGTTCTTATCGATAAGATCCACAGGCGCCTAGCGTGAAAAGTACCCAGGCACCTCGGCGCCTGTTTAGACAGCCAGGTACAGCCGACAGGGGTCCCAAATGTTCGGGTACAGCTTTACTAGTACATTGGCTTCCTTCCAGTGAATCTCCTTTGGGATAGCCTCCTCTGGAATGACATCCTATGGGACAATTTCAAGTGGGACAACTGACTACATCCTATAGGACAACATATTATGGTATAATCTTCCATGGGATAACTTTTGAGATAGTATCTACCTAGGTAGGAGTTGTCTGTCCTTCTAATCCCTTCCTATATACTCTCAAGGATCTGGTCAACACTGGGGGTTCTTACAAACGTGTGAAGATGAATTGGGTAATAATCACCAGCTTTGTCCACATTAAGGGCAGGTGCTGGCGCATGATGTTTGTACACATGATATGCTGTGTAAGTGGAGAGTGAAAACAAGCTTACCGCATTTGCCTGGCCAAGCAGCTTGCTCTCATAAGCGCCATGCGTCGAGAAATCGGGGCCACTCGCACATCAAGCCTCCGCAGCCACAGAGCCTTTGGTCTTTGCCTTGACTTGTTTCTACCAGGTTCGTTAGAATCTTTGGTTTAACAGTCCCCGATGTCTGGAGCATCGTCTCCTCTACCGCCCTCGGATGGATTTACAACGCTGGACCCTGTCAGCCCATACCACCCGACTTAGCTGCCTGGGTATCGTCACACCCGCTATAACCCTGTCGCAACCCTGATCCTTGCCACTGCATCTTCTGGGTCATACTTTAAGTAGGTAGTTTCTTCCCCGAGTTCACGATTGTTCCTTCGCCAGAGTGGAGAGCGCAAGCTCCTGTTGAAGGGCAAGCATGGACTCGTCGAAGCCAGGACTGGATCTGGAGAAAGAGTTGACGTGCTCGGTGAGTCCTCTCCTCTGTCTCAATCGCCTTCCCGTCGTGTCCCCGCAGCAGCACCGCTTCTAACCACCGCCCGAGTCAGATCTGCACCGAGCTCCTCTATCACCCTCTTACGCTTCTAGACTGTCTGCACACCTTCTGTGGCGCCTGTTTGAAGGACTGGTTCACATGGCAAGCCCACGCAGCGGAGAATGCCCCCGACCCTCCGGCCCCCGGGACTTCGGTCTTCACCTGCCCATCATGCCGGGCACCGGTGCGAGACACGAGACACAACGCCACTGTTGCGTCACTCCTGGATATGGTGCTCGTCGCACATCCCGAGAAGGCAAAACCAGCCTCTGAGAAAGAAGAGATGGATGCCAAGTACAGGCCAGGGGACGGCGTGCTCCCCAAATTGAACATCCCGGAACGAACCGCCGAACAACTACGATTGGAGGAGCGGGAGAGGAACCTCATCGAATCAGTGCGGGAGATGAGCCTACTCGAGGCTGTGAATGGTGAGGCATCTGCTTCGAGGTCGCGCCAGCATGGGTCAGGAAGTAGGTCCAGGAACGGCAGCTCACATCGGACGAGAGATACAAGTGCGACTAGGACCGGCGATGTTCGGTCTCGAGAGCGGCAGCATCGTCGGAGGCCCACCACAGAGAGAGACTCGAGCCTCAGGACAGAGCATAACGCGAGGCTGTCACCCGATCACCTAGGATCTAGGTCTGAACACAGCCGGAACAGTAGCAACGAATCTAGGCGGAGGAATGACGACTTGAGGGAAAGACAGAGACGACAGATAGAGCATCAGTCGTCGCTTCGTTCCCTCATCAGCTCTTCAGATGGAGCTGACATAGATATGGAGCGGGAGGTGGAGGAATTCGCCCGGCAAATCCAGCAAGAAGGCTTGTTGGATGGCCTGGACCTCGAGAACATTGACCTGATTAACAACGATGAGCTGAGCCGTAAGATCACTGAGGCATATCGAAGGCGTCAGCGAGAAAGAGAAAGGCTCCGTCATGAGGCAGCAGAACGGAGTCGGGCCACTTCACGAAGTTCCCATAACGGGCCGTCTGATCCCAGGCCTCAGCTTGGTGTCGCCTCGAGATCGGCGAATCGACAAACAGAGCACCACTCAAGATCGGCGAGTGCCACAAGTCAGTCCGAGGAGCGCAGCAGACCGCCTATATCCTCACGCTCCACCCACTTAGAGGTTCACGAGCAAAGAAGGCGTCGGAGAGCCGCCAGCGGAAGCAGAGACAGGAGCTCAACCTTGCCAGTGGGCCCTACGCAGCCAGAGATCAGGGTAGGAGCTCGGTCCCAGACGGACTTGGATGCGAGATCAAACAGTTTGAACGCGTCTTCCAGGAGACCAGTTATCGCGGATGGGCGAAGTGCGAGTACATCAGACGTCCCAAGCAGCAGCCAAGTCCTCGTACAGTCGCCACCTTCAACAGCTCTGCCTTTCAGTGCGCGAGCCAATGGCCTTAACATATTCCAGTCACAAGAACGCACCACCTCTGAGGCGAGTTCCAGCTCAAACAGGCAAAGACCTGCTGATATTGTCTTTGCACCACCACCAAGCTCCACTCCCACTCAACCCAACCAAAACCTACTAGCATCCCCGCCCTCAAGCTCTGGTCATCAAAAAAATCGGGCGTCGCTCTTCGCGGAGCCTGCGATAACGTGTGACCGGTGCCGCCGGGATCATATAGAGTACGAGCTGCATTACAACTGCGCGGAATGTAAACACGGTGACTGGAATATCTGTCTCCAATGCTATCGTGAGGGCAAAGGCTGCCTGCATTGGTTGGGATTCGGATATAGCGCATTTAATCGCTGGGAAAGGCTGCGCAGATCCGATCCTTCCCTGCCGGAGCCACACAAGCTCATGGCGAGTCGATTTCTTCAACCTACAGCCATGGTGGCATCCGCAGCCGAAGACAGGAAGGCGTGGTCGACTGAAGACCCATACGAGCGTCTTCAAAGTGGGACCTTCTGCGCGCTCTGCTTCACGTGGTCGAATGATTGCTACTGGCGTTGCGACGTCTGCAATGAAGGAGATTGGTAAGGAGCTTCCGGATACAGTTCTATCCCCTTTCAAGAAAACTCTGCCATCTTTGGTCTGCTTGACTACTTGCGTTGAGGGCCGCAGCCTCTGAGATAGGCTATGGGCACATGGTCGTCTAGTTCTTCCCATTTTTGAATGCTTCTTTATCAGTGCTTTCATAGCTAACTCTGAAATGCTGTAGGGGTTTTTGCAACGACTGCGTAAACCAAGGGCGCTCGTGCACGCATGCCCTTCTCCCGCTGGCTCATCGGTTTGCCCTCCACTCTCCTGGGTCGCCGCCACCAAGTCCTCGCTCGCCGTCGCGCCCGACATCCGCGACCATGATGGTGGGCTTGAACGCTACCAGCATCGGTCCGTTCAAAGTCATGACTTTTATTACCACGTGCGATGTCTGCAGAATGCCGATCGCACCCACGCAGAGCCGCTTCCACTGCTTCGCGTGTGTCAGCTCGATAGTGCCGGATTCTAGGCCTGGGGACTATGACATATGCGAGCAATGCTACCACTCTCTGGCCTCGAATGGTACTATCAGCCCAGAGAATGGTCCGTCTGGCTGGAGGCGGTGTCTTCAAGGCCATCGGATGGTAGTGGTGGGTTTCCAGGACGGCAACGGGGGCCAGAAGCGCTTCACCGTGCATGATCTGGTTGGCGGCCGGCGGCTGCAGGTCGAGGCAGTTCCGGAGGAGACAGGCCTGCAGCGATGGGTTTGGTATGAAGGCGACCACAAGCGAGAGAGGCTCGTCGCCAAGGACGTGGCCCAAAGTATAGATGCGAGCGACACTTCTTTCCCACCTGATGGTGGGTTTGGCCTGAAAGCCTGCGCGCGGTGGGCCTGGTACCCCAGCCCCGAGAATAATGATGAGCTCCTCTTTCCAAAGGGGGCGGATATCACAGAAATTGAGGATGCGAACGGGGAGTGGTATCACGGAGCATACATGGGTTCCAAGGGCCTATTTCCGGCGCCGTATGTGCGATTATTGGAGTAATGAGCGAGATGAGCATGACGGGAAATGGGAGCATTTGGCCGGAAGGCAATAACATGAGAATGACTTCATGATGATGAGCATGAGCAGGGGCACAAGCATTTTGGCAGACAGTTGTTTGTATTTGCAGGAGGCACGGAACAGGTTCAAACAGTGTTACAGCACGCATCTTGCGGCACCTCATCAGCAATGTTTACTGGTAGCATATTACAATCTGGCAGAAGTCTTGTGACTCGGTACTGCAGATTTGAGAATGGCATGAATTTTACACTTCTTTGCCTAGTCGTGCTTCCATTCTGCTTTCGTCTTCTCCGCAAATGCCTTCATGCCGATCTTTTGGTCCTGGCTGCCGAACAGGCTGTGGAAGACGCGCCTCTCATACTCAACACCGTCTCGTAAGGGCAGGTCTTGGCTCTTGTTGACGACCTCTTTGCCAGCCTGCACAGCGACCTTTGAGTAGCCAGCAATCGTCTCAGCCGTCTTAAGGGTAGCCTCCATGAGTTCCTCGTAGGTCGGGAACGTCCTGGCTGCGACTCCCCACTCATAAGCCTCCCGCCCGGAGAAGGACTTTCCGGTTAGGATGAGCTCCATGGCCCTGGACTTGCCAATGGCCCTCGTCAGACGCTGGCTTCCTCCGGCCCCTGGGACTGTGCCAAGCTTGATCTCTGGCTGGCCGAAGTTGGACTTATCAGTGCAGTATATGATATCGCACATCATAGCAAGCTCGCATCCGCCGCCCAGCGCGTGCCCAGACACTGCCGCAATAATGGGCTTCTTGATCTGGGTGGTCAGGTTGGACCAGGACTCGATGAACGAGTTGAGGTACGCCTGTGAGAATGTCAGGGGCGCCATCTCCTTGATGTCTGCGCCAGCCGCGAAGGCCTTCTCGGAGCCGGTCAGGATGATGGATGAGACGCTGTCTGAGCCATTGAACTTCAACAGGGCCTCGTTGAGTTCGTTGATTAGCGGAGTGCAAAGGGCGTTGAGAGCCTTGGGGCGGTTAAGTGTGACTAAGAGGCGATTAGTGTCTGGTCACTTATCTATCATGCGCGCATGTGACGCCCAAGAGCATCGCCATACCTTGCCCGACGCCCGGCTTTGGCTCGGAGACCTGGATATACTCGAAGCCCATCCTTGATGATGCGGAAAATGAGGCACGGGAGACGCGAGGCAATGTCGACGTCTGCAGCCTAGAGGCAATTGGCCTCAGACTGCGCAGGGACTGCATCTTCACAAAGGCAAAGTGAAGCTCCGAGGCTCTGGAAATGGACGGCGGGAGGGGGGGGGGCGGCAGCTCGGGCGTAAGGCACTTCGAAGTGTCACGGGCGACGGCTGCGGCTGCTGCGACACGTTGATCTTGGCACGCTTGGTAGTGTAAGAAATCGACCGAGGATATGTAGTCGTGAAGGCCCTAGTGCAACAATGAGAGGAGACAAGTAGACAATTGACTTGTTTTCCCTGACTGAGGTGCACGAAAATGTAAAGCGGCTCCCAAAGCGTACAGAAAGGGCCGATGGTTGCCGTCGGCCGAGGTGAGCTCCCACCACTTACAAGAGTGTCGTCACACCTTTGCCAGGGTTCCACGTCTCCACTCACCGGGTGCCCAAGTGGCTAACCCCATCCGTGTGAGTGGGTGAATTGATGAAGACGCATTTGAAAGTGCCACCCATCCGTCCAGCCCGTGGGACAGAAAGAGCAGGGATCACAGCACGGCTCAGGGGGCGGCGCAGGGGCCTGTCAACCAGCGCGATAAAGAAGTGGGCCCAATCAAAAATCCCAGTTAGGTGACCTTTTACTGCGTAGAGCCTTGGAGCCTTTTTACTGTGGCACCTAGCGAGCTCCAGCTCTAGACAGATTTCAAAGTCGTCGTCGCAGCCGACACCAACTCCATCTCCATTTTGCGGAGCTCACGAACCGTGCGACCCTCCTGTGCCCAGTCCATCGACGGCCACCTGCCCTGCGACGATATTTGACCTTCTTCGAATTCAAGCCGAACGCCTAGACGTCCTGCTGTTGCAGCCTCTCATTTGCGTCCGCCTCCCCCAACAATTCTCAGGCCCGCCCCGTCCGTCGCGTTACAATGGATGCTCCTGAACCCGACCAGACCCCTTTCTCCTCGGTGTCGGCCCAGACATCAAAACTGCAGAGGCAATACCAAGCGCTGTTGGACCAGTCAACTCCATATGTCACGTACAGATGGATCGGCACGGGCGTTACCTTGCTATTGTTCTTCGCGCGCATCCTGTACGCGCAAGGCTGGTATATTGGTCCGTCCACTCCCCACTCCTCTTCAAAGTTTCCAGGCCTCTCCCACTGACTACAATTTAGTGGCCTACGCCCTCGGAATATACCTGCTTAATCTTTTCCTTGCCTTCCTGCAGCCCAAGTTCGACCCTTCCAATGAAGCTATCGACAACGAGATGGAGGATGGCGCGGCTGGGTCCTTGCCGACCAAGCAGGACGAGGAGTTCAGGCCGTTCATCCGCCGCCTGCCGGAGTTCAAGTTCTGGCACTCTGCCACCCGTGTCATCGTCATCGCCTTCCTGTGCAGCTGGTTCGAGATTTTTAACGTTCCGGTGTTCTGGCCCGTGCTGGTCATGTACTGGTTCATCCTGTTCTTCCTCACCAGTAAGTGGAGCGCTCCCTGCTCATTCAGCCATTGTTCTAATAGAGACCAGTGCGCAAGCAGATCCAACACATGATCAAGTACCGCTACGTCCCCTTCACTATGGGCAAGACCCGATACAACAGGAATGCCGAGTAAGGCAGCAAAAGGGTGGCCAGAGCTTTGTGACAGGAGTTCTGGTATGTTCAGAAAACGGCCCACGTAAATGAGGCATTCTACTTCAGCGCCGAGCTCACGATTATCAATCTTACAAACCCTTTTAATCTGCATCTGCATCAAGGACGGAGGCAGGGACTGTCTCAGAGCCCGGTCGTATAATCGGCGCACGCGTGAGGGACTTCACCCTAGGCGTTCCTGTTTCTTCTTGGGTACTTCGGCTGGTCAAATGAGCCAGACTATCTGTGGGCTTGGGATCATGGGTTTTGAGGAAGCACGCGTTATGTAGATTATGATGCTCTATAGATTCAATCAGGTTGAACACTTGTCGCTTGTAGCGTGAGTGTGTGCGTTCTGTACAATTGCTGCATTGCGCATATCTCGTCACTGGACTTCGGGAAAATTGCAATGCGGCAATTCAGACATTACATGGGTGCAGTCGTGCCATTGTCTGTCATATTGTCTGAAAAGGCCGAATGAGGCTGACATTCACTGTTGGGGGAAAGGGGCTGGGCGCCTCAAAGTGTGCACTTACATCCTGGTGTTTTTTAGGTGCCGTGCAACTAAAAAGCCCACCTCACTCAAACCACTGAAGCTACCAATCTTGGCGGACGCGACTCTTTCCAGCAAAGCATTACAAAAACCAACCTCGCAAACACCACAGCTCCATCTCGACGATCGACGAGGCTTCTTACCTTCAAGGCATCGGTCATTTGTGCCGACACCAATTGCCAAGATGTCCTCCTCGCAGTCTTCACACGCTCGCCAAGACTTCATCGCGAGGATCAGATATTCCAATGCCCTCCCGCCGCCGCCAAATCCCCCCAAGCTCCTCGACATACCAAACACTGGCCTCGCGAGCGGACAATACACGACCCCAGGCTTCGCTTCTCGCCTGGCGCGGGAGCAGCCGCTAAATATTGAAGCAGATGCCGAGCTTGGAATGCCCCTTGACCTAGTGGGCATGCCAGGAGTCTTTGATGGCGATGAGAGCTGTACGTCTTAAACCAGAATGAAGCTGGAGGTGGAAGGCCTACAGACTGACATTGAGCAGCAATCCAAGCGCCTTCCCAGCCCCCACCAGTCCACCCACATGACAGAGCCCTGTTGCGACCGCTAGCCACCCTCGGCAAGCCCAAGGTTGCAGGCGCTGCCGTCTCTTTCCTCCGCCGTACCGAATATATCTCAAACGCAAACACCACAACGAAATCGAGCCCATTCCGACAAGCCCCAAAGAACACCGATCGGCGGCCACCCAAACGGAAATCGCCAGAACCCGACATCGGAACACCGGCCTATGTCAAGCGCAAGATTGAGAAGGGCTTCGAGGCAGCGCAAGAGAACCTGAAGGACAAGAGCCGGATACGCCACCCGACTAAGCCTCCAGTGGCCAAGTTCAAGAATCTCAGAGTGGTTGAGGCCTACCCTGTTCTGCCAGACCTCGACGCGTTCCCAGACTCGGGCGCCTATGTCACCTACAAGTTTGCGCATCCCCCCATTCCCAAGGATGGGACTTACGACAAGCGCCTTCTCAACAGTATACTGAAGTACAATCGTTCACCGGAGGAGGAGGATGCCTACAATCAGGCGGTAGAGGCGCACAACCGCGACCCCGAGAACCATCCTAAGCCGCCCAACCAGCAGCCGTATAACTTCTACCTTGCCGATAAGGTCAAACACGTTGATATGTTCCGCCAGAGATTCGACCTGCGCAACCCCAACCGTGATGACGACAGTCTGAACCCAGAGACGAAAGCAGACAGTGGCAAACCGGCGTTTGAGTACAATTACGCACGCACGTACAATGCCGTCGTCGAGAGTGAGCTGGATCATGACACCAAGTACAGCGAGGAGCTGGTATTCGGCATTGACCCAGTCACGAAGGTGGCGTGGTATTACCCGTCCATGCAGCGCATGAAGCTGGAGCCGCCACGGAGAATCCACAATCAGTTCAAGCGCGAGAAGAATGAGGTCGACGAGATCGACATTGTCCCCGTGGATCCTTCTGATGAGTGGCGGCTCCGCATGGAGCTGTGCAAGGCGAACCCTCTTGTTGGGCCGGACCCGCCACAGGAGGACGAGCATGATGCTGATGCTGAGGTGGAGGAGGCCATGTCACATGACGGAGATGGTGGTCGACGTGGTCGTGATGACAGTGAGGAACCTGCGGCCACAAATGGGCGGAACTACAGCGAGGAGCCTAGGGTTGAGAGTGAGCAGGATGCTGAAGGGGACGAAGATGAGTAGTCCAATCTACTCCAATTGGCCTAAGGTACCACACCACATCTCAGCAGGGACAAAAAGGAAATCAATGCTTCTAGTGCTTTTCCTTTCTATTCCTGCCCCCTAGCATTGGCAGATGCGCAATGGAACAATTCTCCAGCAATTTTTGGTAGGACTGCCTCCTCAGTATCTAGGTCCACTGGCTTAGTTAACTCAAGCCCACGAGAAAGTACTTGGCAATCCCAAGCATCAATTCCGCGGGGATACTTCTCAAAGTCTTGAGCAGTTTTGAACCCCGAGTTGATCTGCACAGTTATATCTTAATACATGGAATTCCTAGACTTTATCATTTTGCAAACCCACCTGCATGTCATTGTAGGCTCTTCACCAATACATGGAAGTAAAAAGATGATTCAACCTCTGACGGAATGTATCAACTTTCTGAGGGCTTGGATATGTGATTAGATGCCTTTGTCTGGGGACCGGTGAGCCACACAAGTATCTACAAGCATCAGGACTCCTCCTCAAGCTGTGTCTCTTTCTGGCCTCATGACCACGAATTCCTTCTTTCTGAACTCCACTCTTTCTTGTTCGTCTGAGCTGCTTGTTGCTTACTTGCTCTCGTCACTGCTCTGTTGACTCAAAGGCCTGAAATCCAGGCAGTGATTGTGGTTTTTTTTTCTTCAGACTCTGGCCTCACTGTTATATCTGTCTCTTCTAAACGATTTGTGCTCTTGCTATACCTGCCTCCCTCCTCTCTCGGTCATATTAGGATTCTCACCTTCCGCAACCCAAAAGGCCATAAGTCTGACCCTTAAGTTTGACTCTGCCGGTATATCAGAACTCGAACTTTAATCATTGACAAAGTCTCCGTCTAAGCGTCACACTTCCCTCCGAACGTTTCTAGTGTCCTTGCCGGGGTATGATGTACCTGTAGGTACCTCGGAGGGGAGTCACGAGCCAGCCATAACCAGGGTACCAGCTTCTTCACAGACATGCTACGCTCATCTAACTATCATCCAACTACACTCCTTTTCTTTTGTGCTAGGCACCAAGCGACCAAAATTTCACACACCTGTATGTTAAAAAAATCCACTTCACAACTATTCTGGGGTGTGGTGGTCAACCCCACCCCCCATTCTTTCCTAGGCCTCACCCATCTCAAGATCTTTCTCGCCGAGTCCAGTCTTTCAACCCAAACTAACCAACAGTCACCAAACTTTGACACAAAACAACTGCTGACGGCGAATCACCAGTCTTTCAGTTCATGCCATACGACCGCGAGACTCTTCGCTTCACAACTCCATTTGATGCCACTGTCCTAAGGATCAGGTGTCAACTAGACCCAAGATGGCGCCCAAACTCGACGAATACATCATACAGATGCGGAATCTCCACAAGAGGTATGGTCTTTCGAAGAACGTGATGCAGCTTTTCAAGGCCTTTGGTGAACATCACCGAGGCGCAAGCAGCCCCGAGGCCTTGGGCCGATGGCTTCGAAGCTCTCCACTTATGAGGAAGGCATGCACCGACACTATCTCTTCTCTCGCCAAAGAAATACAGAAGAATCCCACGCCTGATTGCATCGCTGAGTGTGGTGAACTCATCAGCAGTTGTACTGAAATGCTAAATCTTGCCAGTGAGTTGAACAAAACTTTTGTGTCCCTGTTCTCGACTCCCTTCAGTCTGCTCTTCTTCATCGTCGGGGCCTTTGTTGGATTTCCTCTTCCAAGCAGAAAGACCGCCATGGCAGCCCTTGTCAAAGACGCAAAAATACCAAATCATCCTTAGCGGGTGGAAAACTATCACAAGAGACGGCAGCAGGTGAGCTAGCACTTTCAGGGAACAGATTGCTGACTGGGATGTGACAGATGAGTCCAAGCAGGGAACAATACTGCCCTTCATGAAGTTTCCCGCCGAGATTCGAAGAAGTGTTTACCAGTACTACTTCAACAACCTCTTCACATCGCATCGACAGCACCAGCACAACACCATCACCATCATCCGCCAACGTCCTCACAACTGTATTTGCCTCGGTCACCAGAGCTACCAAACCGGCTTAGCTCGTCGGCTTCAGATGGATCTAATCATCACTTGTACACAGATCAAGGATGAGGTCCTTGCTTTGTGGTTCGAGGGCTATGTTTTCCACTTCGCTTGTGGTTGTGAGCTTAGTGAGCAAACATGGTTCCCGCGAGGCCGCATACTCAACTGACGAAGGTATCAGAGAGCAGCCTGCAAACAAACAGCAGTCTAAGCAACAACCTCAAGAATGTCAAGATCCACTGGACAGGACAAGAGTCTGCCGAGGCCTTCATCCTCCTGAGAAAAGTCGCCACACTCAAGAGCCTCGTCGTCGTCATCTCAAAGTCAACTACCAATACTCAGTCCGAGAAAGAGAGATTGCTTCGGAGGTACTTCACCCAGAAAGGCCAGACGAGAGTGTCAGAGGCCTTGGGCTTCGACGAGCTGATGGAGTTCCGTGGGCTCGAGCATGTCGGCGTCGAGCATGTGCAGAAGAGCCAGGCATTTCGCCGCTCGGAGGAGGACCGAAACGGGCTTGAAAAGCTGCTGAAGTTTGTAGCACTGGACGACTAACTGCCTGACCGAGATAACAGCAAGATCTGAAATTGTGGACTCGAGAGGACCAGTACGTGTTTGGGGACTGGGCACAGAGTAAGTATGGACGAGAACGACCGTGTTACTCTCGATAGATACGTGCCAGAGCTCATCTTACTATGCGGCACCACAGTGCATACTAGATTACATGAACTCGCAGATATGGTAACACTTTGGGGAACACATGTCACTGACATGGTTGTATACCTCCACAAAATACCTGTTACTCAGACAAGATGAGGCATAGCAAGCAAAATGCCTCTAGATAGGGCCAACATCGCATAGTCCTGACTGGCACAAAGTAATTGTTCACTCGTCTGCTTCTTCAGAAAAGAAATTCCTCTGGGTAAAAACGCCTCGGCCGCACACGCGGGTGGCCCCACCAATCATGTCGCAACTGAATAATTACAAAATCCCCCACAGCCCCTGGTGTTCAGAAGAGGAGGTCTCGTACTCAAATAGCATTGCGTCAACTGAAAAGTCTCTTGCTCTTGTCTAATACGCACCAAGAGCCTTGACAGTTCTTGGGCGAATCCTACTCAAGATCGGACAGGGGAAGGGATACTGTCGACCGAGTCCGGCAAAAGACGTGGATGAGGTGGGAGAAACTAAAGAGAAGTGGTCGGACTGAGCCCGTGGCGGGCTCAGCCCAGTTCCTACCGTTGATCAATTGGAAATTCACGACGCTGTATGATTTCTCAGAACCTCGCCATGGCTTCCGGTCGAGCACATCGCGCTCGCGTGGAATGTGTGCTTGAGTTGAGTGGTGGTCCGGGATGCAAAATTATCGTGCAAACAGAGTGATTGAGATTTTGATGTGGAGATGCGCAGAACGGCGTCCCAGGGTTATGGACCCTGATGCTCGATTGTGACCCAAGCCACACCCCCCCCCCCCGGCAAAGCCGAACACCAGACCAACTACAAGGGGCGAACTTTGGATTCCAGACTTGCACGGCTTGGGGTCGTCAAGCCTTCATTGTGACATCATGGAGTATACTGGCTGACGAAAAGGGGCATTCCAATGTGACCTGATCATTATGGCCACGGCCATGATTTTCGGACCCCAGATTGATTTTCCACAGCTGCTGCCAATGTGATATCCTGATTGCGCATTGTCAAACATGCCGTCGCAAATCAAACTATACACAGCCGGGACCCCAAACGGGCAGAAGGTGAACATCTGCCTGGAAGAGCTTGGCCTTGACTACCAAGTGCACAAGATCGACATCGCCAAGAACGTTCAGAAGGAGCCATGGTTCCTTGAGATCAATCGTTTGTCCAATGTCTGCCTGACCTGTCCCGAGTCTGACTTGCTGACATGTCTCATTAGCCAACGGCCGCATCCCAGCTATTGTGGACGAAGGTGTCAGCCCACCGAAGCGAGTGTTCGAGGGTGGCGCTATCCTGCTGTACTTGACTGCTCGCTACGACAAGGATCACAAGTTGTCCTTCCCCTATGACTCGTCTGAGTACTGGGAGGTTGTCGAGTGGGTGGTGTGGATGCAGTCGGGCATAGGTCCCATGCAGGGCCAGGCAAACCACTTCCACCGCTACGCCCCCGAAAGGATAGATTATGCTGTCAACCGCTACCAGACGGAGACCAAGCGGCTGTACCAGGTCCTTGAGGACCGTCTGGCGGCTCAGGAGGAGAAGGGTCAGGGACTGTGGCTTGTGGGTGGGAAGTACACGATTGCAGACCTGGCCTGCTTCTCCTGGGTTGAGTGGCACCAGTGGGCGGGGGTGTCGCTGGACACATTTTCTCGCATCCAGAAGTGGAAAGAAGCGATAGAGGCTAGGCCGGGTACCGAAAAGGGCCTCAACGTGCCCGAGAAGTTTGAGCTGCGTGAGGCTATGAAGACGAAGGAGGGCGAGGACGAGTATGCGAAGCATCACAGCAATTGGGTCATGCAGGGGCAGAAGGCGGAGCAGGAGAAACACAAGTGAGGCATCAGTTGGCTTGTCATTAGACATCTGTAATCTAAGATGGGACTATTCATCTTTAGCCGTAATGAAAGAAATCGCTGTGTGACATCTATCGAGGTATCCCGAAAAACAAGGCTCATATTCTGGCCTTATGCCATTCCGTAAAACCCAAGAACTCCATCGCTATGCAATTGAAAAAACAGGCTCGTCATCACTCGTGTCCCATGGCCCGTCAAACTAAGCACATGGAGCAAAATCCCCACCATTCACTCATCAGCTTAGAAGATCAAGACCGCCGCGGCAAGGAATGCAACCAGGGCGCCCGTCTTAGCACCGGTGGAAACGATGCCCGAAGCCGCATCGCTTGTCGCACTGCTGCTGTCCGACCTGCCCTCGGCAGTGATTCCATTAAGGTTATCGGCTGTCTCGATAGCAGGGCCCTCGCTGTAGAAGTCGACAAGCGCAAACACGGGCGCAGTGCCCCACTCTGAGTTACACTGGTAGGCTGACTGGCCCAAAGCACCGATGGAGGTCGTGTTTGGGCTGTTGGTGGTGTCAATGATATCGACGTTGGGGACCTCGATGCTGGACGTGATCGACTGGTACACGAAATGGTTGAGGAGAGGCAGATATCCTGACGAGATGGCGGAGCTGGCGTCGGACAGGCTGGTTGGCCGGTCCAGAGTGCAGTTCAGGCCGGCAAGCGTGGTCACCTCGTAGGCCGTCTCGAAGACGAAGTCCCACTCGTTGAGCAGGTACGGGTAGGTGGTCGAGTAAGTGATAGTAGCAATAAACGTTACCAAACGCGTTCCGTCGTCAATCATGGTCTGGAGGGTGGGCCAAGTGTTGCTGGCGCTCGCGGTTGTGGGGGTGTAGCCGTATGTGGAGATGTTGGAGCTCTCATAGACCTCGCCGAAGGAGGCAACATCCTCGTCGTCCGAGTTAACGATTAGCAGCGTGACTACTTCGTTCGGGTTCTCATCCATCCAGTACTTGATCTTGGTCAAGAAGGACTCGAGGGTTCCAGCGTCCAGCAGGGCGCAAGTCGTGTGGCACAGTTGAAGTGTGCCGTTGGAGTTGTGGACCTGAAGGGAGAGCAGTCGGATTCCGGCGTTCAAAGCTTTCGTGGCGTTGTAATATTGGTTACCGGCGACGGAGTTGTCAGTCGACGAGTCTCGGAGGAAGGCTGCGTCGTGAGCACCCATGTGTGTCACGTTGCTGTACTGCCTTGAGCAAAGGTCAGGTGAGTTGTTGCAAGCGACAGTCGAGGTTGAGGTCGCAGCAGATACTGCGGTTGATGCCGCATAGCTACCGGCCGAAGTCGCAGCGGCCCAAGAGTTCTCTGAGCTTGTTGTTGTAGCACCCCAAGTCCCTGCTGAAGCTCCTCCTCCGCTGCCACTGTTGCCACTGCTGCCATCTCCCCATTGGCTGGAGTCCCATGATCCATCCTGACCCTGTGGGCTGGGCCTAGAGTAGACCGTCGCCGTGAGAGACAGGGCGACGGCCAAAGTGGAAAGAATGGACGACTTCATATTTGGTCGTAGAGTGAGTGGGCTCCCGGTAGTTCTAGAGAACACTGTCCGGGTAATGTTTGGTAGTTGGGTATCTCTGGTGGTGAAAGAGTGATGAACCTAACCAACGTCACGTCAACCGAACGAGCGAGGGAGACAGACAACATCTTTATAGACAGCAATGATCAATTTGAGCTGGTATGATTTTTAAGGGGCCGCGAGGCAAACAAATCTGGAGGTCACCCACATCCCACAGTGGGGAGGTTAGGTCGGCTGGGTTAAACAAAAACATGGCGCAGCAGCAACCAGCATTACGTTGCTGCCCCGTAGTGTGAAACCACCGGACGATGACATTTCACTGCCCATCCAACCTCATAAAAAATTCGGCGGGCTAAAAGGGACCCTGTCTCCCGTCTTTATTGGACGAAAACATTTTGTTTATCATGCGGAAGTCTGCACTTCCTGGACGACAAGAAGCGGCCCCTCAGGCAGTCAGGCCAGATGTAAGGTCAGCCCAGCTTCGCGATGCACGGCTTGGGGCTTGAGATCTGCGTGTGGATGGATAGCTCTGCAGTCATTCTCACAAACAACTGGCTGGTTGGCTAGGCAATTCTCATACTGGGCCTGATGTGGTCATCGGATGCCTATTGATGAGGCTGGTAAGGCAAGTTGTTGTTGTGCACCTTGGAACGGCTCTGCCGATCACGAGCGGTCGACAGGGTTGACGACTACCGGCGGTGGCTTGGACCCGCCACGCGGCTCTGCTTGGCCACCTGGCATACACACTGTACAACCCCACGTATCACTGCGTAGGTAGCACAGTTTCCTCTGAGATGGCACTGTCCGCCTGTCTCCATCACCCCAGTTCACCTGCCACGCCTTTTATTTTTGGCAGCCAAGTCAAGACGCTAGGTGACATCAACGTCGTAACCCGCCGCGCGACTGCCGACCACCACCCAACCCTTTCGTGAGGAAAGGGGATGGCGAGGAAATGCACCAATTTTTTTCTTCTAGACTTTTCTTACTGTGACTGTCATAGCTTCGACTTAAGCTTGTTCAGTCGTGGTGGAGACAAGACCTTGGGGCGAAGAAATCTTTTGGGAGCTATGTGCCAGGTTTCGCGTTGTTGTCACTGATTCATTGCTGTCCTGCTCTCGCGGTCTAGACAGCAAATTCCCACCCATGCCGGGAAGTGGGAGCGCACAAGGGGGGGCATTTTCAATTGCTGCGCCGACGTGAACGCCACACTACGTGACACAAGCATTTGGCCCCTGAATACGATAACGATGATAAGAATTTGGGAGGCCCTCACTCTCAGCTTCGTAGAGGTCAGATCCAGAAGCCGGTCTGCAACTCCAGAAAGCCTAGCTTTTGCCCAGATCTGATGGGAATGCCTCGTGGGACGCCGGTGGGGCGTATCGGATTTCGGCAAGAATTGTCAGTCGTGCACCCATTCCATGTTTGCTCAGAGTCGCTTGCATATGTTTGCCTTAGCTGGTGATAGTGCGCCGTTACTCGGTTCTGCACCTACGTATACGTTTGCATTCGTCATACAAGCCTATACCATCTTGGGCCATCTGGTGGGGATCACTCCTCCGCGAGCATGTTGTTGACGATGAAGACCAGGGGCAAGGGTATCAATTCAATTCTCGTGTGTCTAGCTGCTATGAACATGTCCTCGCTTTTACGTCTTCTTCCGAGCCTTGAAAGTCCGCAGGGGATCTGACTTGCGCCCGCTAACCTTCTTCGCCTTGCCCTTGAAGAACTTGGACCGACGGTTCTTCTGGTCGCCTTGCTTCTTGAAGGGCACAAAGCCAACCTGGTCCGCCGTGAGAGCCTTCTTGCCCTCCTTGGGAAGCAGGTATTCCGGGACATGCTTCGCTCGAAGGTGGGGCTGCGTCCGCGCCGCTCGGAGCTCGCCATCGTGGCGCAAATGATTCAAGTCCGCCGGGTTCTCCTCGAAATGTCGCTTGAGCCGTTCGCTCTTGAGAAGCTCTTGCCTCAGTTCCCTGGTTCTTGCTTCCCTGATGCTGTTCTTGGTGACAGCGCGCAGCGCGTCGTTCATTCTGTACCGGAAGTTCTCTACTTGCTTCATGTCGAAGACGTACGGTTTGACTTCCTTGCCTTGCTTTTGCTGCTGACGAAGGACTTTGGCGAGGACCTTCTCGTCATTTTCGGCGGCCTCAACTGATGTCGGAATGTGTTTTCGAAACTCGTCTTTGGGTACGACAAAGGACAGCGCCATGCCTCGTTGGCCCGCTCGCGCCGTGCGACCGATTCTGTGTGTGTAGGACTTGGATGACGTTGGGAAGTCAAAATTGATGACCGCAGAGACACGCTGGAAGTCGATGCCACGAGAAACACCGAACTCCTTGTCTCGTTTGGACGACTTCCGTTTCTTCTTAGGCGGAGCATCTCCTTTTTCGTTGCTGTTTCCACCTTTCTTTCCTTGATCAACGGTTTGTGCTAGTTGATCTTCATCGCCTAGAACCTCATTTTCGTCTGAACAAAGTATTATGTCGTATATCTTGAGATCGTTAGTGATTTTCTCAGGACATGCGATGCTCGAATCGAGCGGACAAAACAGTACTCACGTTCTTGTTGAATTGTTCTACCACGTGAAGTCTAGAATTGACAGGCAACTCCGGGTTCAAGATGGCGCTCCGAATGCCAAATTGTTCAAAATAGAGCCGAAGTCGCCAACATCGATCAACATCCGCGACGAAGATGATGCCTGTGAAGAAGTTAGTTAAAACCCGGTCAAAAATTCTACACAGTAAACTTTCAGACTTCGAGGACTGCACAACTTACATTTGCCCTTCATAAGCTGCAGTTTAAATATCACGTAGGCTAGGAGAAACTTCTCAGCTTCACCGCACTTGACATAAAACTGTGAAACGCCCTCTCCTTCGGCATCTGGCTCCTCAAGGTCGAGTACCGTTGGGTCACGGCAGAACAAGCCTTTCACAGTCTCCACATCAGTGGTGAGAGTGGCGGACATAAGGATGGTCTGCAGCCCCTTTGGTACGGACCGAGCCACGTTCTGAAGATCCTCATCGTAGCCATATGAAAGCACCAGGTCGGCCTCGTCCAAAATCAGATTTGTGAGCTTGTCCACGGAGAGAGACCCATTGCTGATGTTCTGCCATGCTCTTGCCGGGGTCGAAATAACAATATCAGGTGCGCTCGAAAGTATAGATCGCTGGACAGCTTCGGAGACTTGTTCAGTCAGCTTGACGGCCTGGATTTCCTTGGCACAGAAGGCTGAGAATTGTTCGACGTTCCGCAACACTTGATCGGCAAGCTCGCGGGTGGGGACGAGTATCAGGGCAGCAGTGAAAGCGGTAGGGTCAGACTATTTCTGGTTAGCCAATGAAGCAGGGCATGGGAGCAGATCGAGCGCCGCGATAAGCGACAGCGGAGGGAAACGAAACACAACACACCTGCTTCCGCTTCAGAACGCCATGCAAGACGGGTAGGAGGTAGGCGGCGGTCTTTCCGGAGCCAGTCTTGGCCTTGGCGAGCACATCCTGGCCGTTCAAGGCCAGAGGGATGACCTTGGACTGGACAAGAGTCGGGGTCTGGTACTTCTGATTGGCAATGGCTTGTAGCAGCCGCGGATCGAGAGCGAGATCAGAGAAGGCAGGGCCAGGGCTTGCGGTGGTTTCCCCGGACGTGCCAGGCTTGTCAGGCTCAGACTCCGGGGCAGTCTGGGGCACAAACGTGGGTTCGTTGTTTTCGTCCAGTTTTCGCTTCATCTTGGCAGGCGATGTAGAACGTCTCGGGTATCAGGGCCGCAAATAGAAGGGTGCAGATGAGGAATTGATCGCTCTGTTAACTTTGGGCAGATTTGTGAGAGAGACCGAGAAAAGTTTCTGATGCCTGCCGAGGACAAAAACCTCCCGCCGATAAGATAAGAGCACTCAGGTACCCGACTAGGGGACGATACATGGGTACCTAGGTACAGCACATTTTTGGCCGAGCACTGACCTCGACGTTGCATCTGACAGACCGACCGACGTGACGGCCCACATGAACCTGATCAGAGCGGCTGCAGATGTGTGCTGCGTCTCCCAACTCAACTTCTCAGCTTCTGCAGCATGCCATACGCCTTGCCTCCTTCTCAACCGAACACACTCTAAAAGTATGATCTACCTAGGTATTCTCTATACTCCATACTCCGCACTCTACGCTCGTTCACCTCGGTCTGTTTTTTATGATCCCAAGTGCCGGAATTACTCGCTCGTTGGCTGATCAGCTTGGCAACTATGCTGAAGCAAGCAATCAGGACGCAATGGAAGGCTTGCTGTCCACGTCGCTGACTAGGTGCCAAGCTAGTCTGAACAATGCGACGGTCGGTATGCTCCGTACATAGCACATTGCACAAAGCACATCTCGCACGCATTGCTATGCGGCTTTACACTTCCCTGCACATGCCCAGAACACTTGTCAAGCCTTGGCATGTCGGACGCTTGTACGAAGAAGCTGTAACAAAGACAGCGTCTACCATCTTGAAACCTGACCAAGCCAAATGGCGAGGAAACCTACACCGCAACACACCAAATCACAGCATGCCAATCCCTATGTGACAACGATCTATGGCTCGCCAAATCGGTCCAATACCGGCGATCAATTAATGCCGTACCAGAGCCTTCCCATTCATGGTTATGTCGCCCCCGGAAATGCCATGGAGATATATGGTTCACGCCGTGTGGAACAGGTGCCGCCATCCCTACTCATGCGCGAGAGCTCGTTCCTAGGAACCCTTCTCCATGAGAGGTCTATCCAATTGAGGTCTCTCATCTAGAGATTGCTCTTGATAGATTCCATCTCGCAAGCCGGGCCCCGTTCTCGTTGGCCCGTGTCGACTACACCTGGCCCTGTATCACTTTCAAGCGCGACTGTGCTGAGTTGTATTGGTTACAATTGTCTGCAGGGGAATGTGTGCCGGGGCTTATCCACCGAATAGGAATTATGGAAAAAGTCGCTCTCATACTAGCGAGCGTCCAGGCTCAATTGGAGGAAGCACCTCCGTGGGGAGGACCATCCCGGCCCCGACGCTGGCAACGGTCCCCCACGGGCCCCAAGTCTCCAAGTCGATAAGCCGAAGGGCTACCGTCTTGACCGATGATCTACTCCACGTCCCCCAGGCCTGAACCCTGGCATCCCGCTCCGACTAGTTGCATCCGGGGCGCTCGTTTCATGACCCATCTGTTTCCTTTCACTGTCAGTGCTTCCCAAGTTGGTCCCACCTCAATGCGTGGACGAATAGAGTGAGGGCATACCTTGCTATGCTGGCATAGGTAGCACTGTTTCATACAGGGGGAGTCTGCCCCATGAGACTGACCTGGTCTCAACGAGTCAGCCGTCTCACCCGTACCCAACCCCCTTCGTTACGTCTCATTTTCAATTACCTGTCAACACGTCTTCTAGAACGTCTTCTTAGACTACTCCTCGAATTAGCAGGTCTCAGAAAAACGTCCGCCCGTCGCCGCCGGCTGGCCTGCGAAAATCCGGTACCGGTGCTTCCTGCACGCATGATTCTCACGGCATTTTTCGGCCGTGTAATCTCTTTGCAAATTGACCTGTCTCTTTATGTGTTTCCCAAGGAGCCAGAACAAGCTCACAACCGAGTCTCACGGCTGAGCGGATCGATCGATTCAGGGACGGCCGAGCCCTCGCAGCTTAGATGGATCGGGACAAGTATAAGCCAAGGCTCTACAAGGCGGCCCAAAGTCATTCAAGCAAATAACAAGCACCAACGTACCCTACGGCGCCAGCTTGGCCGTCTCGAAGGGCGACATTTGCGACCGCCGAGCCCACATATTGTGTAGTAATAGGAAATGGTGCAGCCGGCAGTCCGCACCTCTCCCATTGCAGATCCTGCCTTGGCGGCTGTGTGGACCAACAAGCCTTCTCAGCACGCGCTGGACTCTTCTTGATGGATGTTTCCGGTTGAACGCCAAGCCCACTTGGCGGGACGTGAACGTCTTGGTGGATGGGTCGCAGTGGCGACTGCGAAGCGTATGCTTAGTACGTTATCGCGAGCGGAAAGTCTCTGCTATGGGATATCACGTGGCAGTTTCAAAGGGACCCTGAGCTGAAACTCAGCTCCTCGGTCACCCATGGAGACACCACACGGCTCCACCTGCCTGGATCACCCATCTCAGAAGTCGAAACTTCACAACTCCTGTACTCCCGTCTCCTAGTCACAACGCGTTGCTTGACTTGTACTTGAGGCATTTTATTTTCTCGGCACGCCGAAGCCCTGCTCACGACGACACCCGGGCTTCCATGCCTGGGCCTCGCAATCCAAGGATGCCAGCTCTTATTGAAACCGATCAGCTACTCCTGTCAGAAGACCCTGGCTGTGGGAGTTGTGAGGGCTGCTCCGGGATAGGTGCAGCCGTCCGAAGAGCTCTGAGCTTTTTGGTCCCCGGCAAACCAGGCTGAGATGGACAGGGAAATGTACCAACGTACCAGCCGTCCAAAGTAGCAGCCAAAGTCAAGCTCGAAGACCAAGTTACTCCTCGGGAATTCCAAAATTTTGGCGAGTTATTTTTGTCGAGCTACATGTTGCCCAGAGATTTCCTCCGACGCACGTTCCCAGAAGTGCCTCACCTGCCATAGTGACGGCGAATCTCCTACCCACACCCGACCATTGTCGAGGGTCGCGGGACGTGAATCGATGAATCCTTGCTTGGATCTCCTGTGTTGTAGTCGCCCCGAAGATCAGCGTCAGGTCCGGAACCAAGCTAGGTTTGAGGCTATGGAAATTCTCACTAGGTAGATAAGAAGAAAACTTCATGTCCACAGCATATAAGAGATTCTTCTGCCCGCCGTCCCATCTCCAGGTCTGCTCTTGATCTCACTCTCATCCCTTCGCCTCCTTCTTCCTCTCTTCTCCTCTCCCCTCCCCCACCTTTTCCGTTGTTTTCTTCTTCTCTACAGCTGGCCTGTAAATCTCGGGCACATGGCTCCCAATTTCAAGAAGGTCATGGCTTTCGGCAAGAAAAGTACTCCTCATGCTGCCCAGCCTCTGAGGCAGGAGGATCATGATGACCTCGAGGCGGGAAACTTCCTCCCGGAAACCCAGAACATGTACTCCAACCTGGATGTCGGTGCGCCTAAGGGCGGCGGTGGCCAATACATGGATGAGTACAGAGCGTAAGTCACGGAGCTTACTATTGGAAAGTCCAGCATGATCCTAACCGCATAAACAGTCTGATCAGGTATATCGACACCTACCGGGACCCCAACGCCGAGGTGGAGATCGAGGAGGAGACAGTAGAGAAGAAGAAGCCATGGTGGAAGGGTGGCGGTGCCGCGGCGGGCAAGAAATTCAGCGACTTCGTTACCCCCACAGACTGGCTCAACACCGAGATGAGAGACGGTCTCAACTCCATGGAAGTTGAGAGAAGGCGCAAGAGCGCCGGCTGGAATGAACTGTCCACTGAGAAGGAGAACATGATTCTCAAGTTCATTGGCTTTTTCCGTGGCCCTATTCTCTACGTAAGGGCTCCAAGCTAGTCCTCTCCTCGGGAAACCTACTAACTCAGCAATCAGGTCATGGAAGCGGCAGCAATCCTTGCACTTGGTCTCCAAGATTGGGTTGACGCCGGTGTCATTATCGGCATCCTGATGCTCAACGCCATCGTTGGTTGGTACCAGGAGAAGCAGGCTGCCGACGTCGTTGCCAGCTTGAAGGGAGACATCGCTATGAAAGCTCGTGTTGTTCGTGATGGCCAGGAACAAGAGATCAGGGCCCGAGAACTTGTACCAGGCGATATTGTGAGTCCGCTGATCTCCACAGTCAGTCTGGTCATCGCTAATATAATCACAGGTGGTTATCGAAGAAGGCACTGTTGTACCCGCCGACGCCCGACTCATTTGCGACTATGAGCAGGGCGCGGAGGGTTTCCAACAATACAAGACCGAGCTCCAAGCACAGGATGTATCCTCTCCACGACAAGAGAAGTTTGAAGAAGGTGAAGATGAGGATGGAACTCCCCACATCGGACACCCGATTGTCGCTATCGACCAGTCTGCCATCACGGGCGAGTCTCTCGCAGTCGACAAGTACATGACCGATGTTGTCTTCTACACTACTGGCTGCAAGCGAGGCAAGGCTTACGGCATTGTTACCTGCGGAGCTCAGGCTTCGTTCGTCGGCAAGACCGCTTCTCTTGTTCAGGGCGCCCAAGACCAGGGTCACTTCAAGGCCATCATGAACTCCATCGGTACATCGCTTCTGGTCCTCGTCGTTCTCTTTATGCTCGCTGCCTGGATTGGAGGTTTCTACCGTAACCTGAACATCGTCGGCAATGCGGAGGACTCCACGAACTTGCTGCACTACGTCCTGATTCTCCTCATCATTGGTGTCCCAGTCGGTTTGCCCGTCGTCACGACCACGACTCTGGCCGTCGGCGCTGCCTACCTCGCCCAGGAGAAAGCCATCGTCCAGAAGCTCACCGCCATTGAGTCTCTCGCTGGTGTCGATATCCTGTGTTCCGACAAGACAGGAACCCTCACTGCCAACCAGCTCTCCGTCCGTGAGCCCTTCCTGATGGAGGGAGTTGACGTCAACTGGATGATGGCTGTCGCTGCTCTAGCTTCCAGCCACAACATTAAGGCTCTCGACCCGATCGACAAGATCACTATCCTTACCCTGAAGAGATACCCTAAGGCCAAGGAGATGATTTCCGAGGGCTGGACGACCGAGAAGTTCATGCCTTTCGATCCTGTATCCAAGCGTATCACCTCTATCTGCACCTACCAGGGCGTCCGCTATGAGTGCTGCAAGGGAGCCCCAAATGCTGTGCTCGCTATTAGCAACTGCTCGCCTGAGCAGAAGATTCTGTTCAAGGAGAAGGCCACCGAATTCGCCCGCCGTGGTTTCCGTTCCCTGGCTGTCGCTGTCCGTGAGGCCGACGGCCCGTGGCAGATGCTCGGCATGCTGTCGCTCTTCGACCCCCCTCGCTCGGATACCGCCCAAACCATCGCCGACGCCCAGACCCTAGGTCTCTCCGTTAAGATGCTTACTGGTGACGCCATCGCCATTGCGAAGGAAACCTGCCGTATGCTTGCCCTGGGAACCAAGGTGTACAACTCGGACAAGCTGCTCCACTCTGACCTGGCTGGCAACTCTATCTACGATCTGTGTGAGCGTGCCGACGGCTTCGCTGAGGTCTTCCCCGAGCACAAGTACAAGGTCGTCGAGATGCTGCAACAGCGTGGCCATTTGACTGCCATGACTGGCGATGGTGTCAACGATGCTCCCTCCCTGAAGAAGTCCGACTGCGGTATCGCTGTCGAAGGCGCTACAGAGGCTGCTCAGGCTGCCGCCGATATTGTCTTCCTTGCTCCCGGTCTGTCTACCATCGTCTCGGCCATCAAGATCTCCCGCCAGATCTTCCAGCGCATGAAGGCATACATCCAGTACCGTATCGCTCTCTGCTTGCACTTGGAGCTCTACCTCGTCACTTCTATGATCGCCATCAACGAGACCGTCCGTGTTGACTTGATCGTGTTCCTGGCTCTCTTCGCCGATCTGGCCACCATCGCCGTCGCATACGACAACGCACACTTTGAGCGTCGCCCCGTCGAGTGGCAGCTTCCCAAGATCTGGATCATCTCCATCGTTCTCGGCGCCCTCCTCGCCATCGGCACTTGGATCCTCCGTGGCACACTCTGGCTCCCCAGTGGCGGTGTGATCCAGAACTACGGCTCCGTCCAGGGCATTCTCTTCCTCGAGATCTCGCTCACCGAGAACTGGCTCATCTTCGTCACGCGCGGCTTCGAGACATACCCATCCTTCCAGCTGATAGCGGCCATCTTGGGCGTCGACATCCTGGCCACACTCTTCGCGGTGTTCGGTTGGTTCACCGGCGGCGCCAGCTCGACCATCCCTCCCGTCCCCGCGATCGCGTCGGACCCCAACGGCAGGACAGACATTGTCACCGTCGTGGTGGTTTGGTGCTTCTCCATCGCCGTGACGATTGTCATCGCCATTGTGTACTACGTCATGACTGGCATGGAGACCCTCGACAACCTCGGCCGTAAGAAGAGGAGCGCTTCCGACACGCTCATGGAGAATGTCCTCACGCATCTCTCCAAGGTGGCCATCGAGCACGAGAGGGATGAGGACGGATCCAGGTTCCATCTGGTCCAGAAGCAGATCAAGGAAGAGGACGAATAAGTATAGACTTTGCATTGTATGATAAACCAGCTGGCGTCTTGGGGGTGTATTTTTTATTACTGGGTCCGGGAAAAGGGAGATACCAGAGGAGACTGTCACTATCCGAGGGTGGTCATACACATACGGTGTCCTGGGGAAAAGGTGGCACCATAATTATTCCCTTATGCTGTCAGTCTCTAAACTGTGTTTAAGCGCGAGACTTGCTTCAGTTCATAGAAGGCGAAATCATAAATTTCCTATGTGCAACATCTTCTCTGATCATGAAATTGTTCATTGTGCATTTGTCTGCTGCTTTGACGTGAGACTCAACTTTGGCGCTTGTAACTGTCAAGGTGCTAAGTTACTGTTTACTGCATTTTGGTCTGGCCGTCTCTACATGTTGATGAACCAGACAGTAAGTCCACGAGTGCGAACTTGATGAGGCTTGGCAGGCGTGTTAATTTCTTGCGCTCTTCATCTCTCTCAAGGGCTTCCAAACGTCCCTGTTGAACTGCGCATTCGTACGTTTGTGTCAATGGTGTGCAAAAGGTAGATGAACCGATGTGAGAGGTGCCAGGCTACGGTGCGCAGCCAGTGCTCAACGAATGGAGACTGCTACTCTACGGCAATCGCCTCTCCGGGTGTGAACGTTCTGGCGACCAACGTATGCCTGCGTGCCAGAGGCCGAGGGCATAAGTTGCCCTACCAATCCATGCACGACATTCTACTAGGCGTGTGCCTGCCTACACCAAGAGGTTGGAGCTTACATCCTGGTATCATTCATGTACACTCGAGCTAGGAAACGTCCATTAACAAAATCAGCCAGCTTAGGCCGGCGCCCCTCCCATCATCCGGCTTTCGGGATGAATGAGTCTAGGTGCTGTAAGGCATTGACGCGAGCAGATAAATTTTTCTCTGCCGTGTTTCCTGCCTGGCTCAATATTGAACAATATGCCGGCGCGGTGGCGGTTGAAGGCACGGGTCCGACGGCACGCGCATGTCGCACTACAGAATGCTGCGGCATTAAAACCATGTATGTGCATATGTGGCCTAGGATCCCGGAAGAAAAAAGAAGACGGAGGTCTTCTAGAAAGACAAAAGATCCATGCGTGCCTCCGGCCTGTCTCTAATGTGGGAGTGAATAAGATGTCTAGGCAGCTAGGTGCGTGGACAGAACCGTACCGCGTAGTCAGGAGGCTTCTCTCAATGGCATTGACTAAATGGGCTCTGTGGAGTTTCGTATCACGGTCTAGTTCATTCTGGGTCCAGAATCTTGGGCCATCCTCAGCACTGGGTGGCAGAGACCCAATGTCTCAGAATTACAGGTGCTGGCTGCCCGGTTTGAGCTGACTCGATTTGCTGCAGAGGATGCCCAGCCTCCGGTTTTTGCACACGCCAGAGAGAGGCTCGTACTGCGTCATGTACGCACACGGGTTGATGGCCTGATGGACGTGAAGTGTCTCAGGCTGACCGGCATACATCTTTCTGTATCTGTTTCGACCTCTCGGCTATCAGCTCTGGAATATGCAGGCACTCAAGTCAACGTCGAGAATAGTGGACCGGTGGTATCGTTGTTGCCTCCATGTCGATCCCTCCGATTAATCTTGAGCAGCGTGGAGACCTGCAATGTACGGCTGAGTGCCGAAGTGGCTGATCGGGGCTAGCCGCTGCCGGGGCGCTGTCCTACAAGGCAGTAGGATCGAGCCAGGAACGAGGCATTGCTAGTTCCCGCCAGCGGAGAATTGGAAAATTAATGAAGAATGTACATATGTATGTGTTTCGTACAGCCATCCACCCATCTACGACCGAGGATCTTGGTGGAGGCCAGATTCTTGTGATCGCGCGGGTTACAACTGAGTAGTACAGCCACTTATGTGACTTCGAGGCTGTGTGGTGTATTGCATCAGAAGCATCTATCAATGTAGTACCAGTGCACCTGCAGCAAGCGAGTGGGTGTTGCCATGGTGAGGCAAGCAGAAGATGCCGAGTAAACAAGGCCATTGTCCTTGGATGTCGAGACTATGACGGACTGCAGGCTGCAGGGTGTCCACTCACCTGCAGGAAGCGGGACTTGGCTGCTTGGGCACGCGCGGTGGGTCCTACTCTATGCCACTTCCTCCAGGAAGGATCAGGATCAGGATTGCCCGAGAGGACAATGGAAGTGGGTAGCAACGAGATACAGGCCCTCACTCGACTCGACTGACTAACATCATCATCACCAATACCAGCCCAGCCCAGCCCAGCCCCCTTCACATTTCAACAAAACCTGAGTGGTAGAGTTTGCAAGTCTCGAGTTTCAGAACACAAGGTTGTTGATGGCCTTGTCTCTCCTCTCGCCCAAAGTCAATTGGACGAAGGCGATGGTCGGTCACATTGGGAGGCTGGGGGAGTTCATCACATTCGCTTTCCCGACCTGGGTACCTGGAATTGTGCTTATTGTGCTGTGAACTACGTAGTGCAGCAGTGCTGAAGGGCAGGGGGGGGGGCAGCTGGCCAATCCCCGCTGAACTTTTGGTAGTTCCAGATTTAGCAACTGCCACTGGCGAGCAATGACTGCTCCGTGACCCTGGCCGTTCCGCCATTTCCCACCTTTTTTCCGACTATCTGGGGCAGTTGCCCCGCAACCACCTTCCTGTTGATCGACGCCCAAGCTTACACCACGCGGTGGCCCAATCAGGTCAAGGCTTGCCAGCTTCGCGCCCACCTGCACTCAACAAGTGCAAGTGCTACTCGGGCCTCAAAACCACACATATCTACGTTTTCCTGGCAAAGCAGGCAAACAGAGAAAGAGATAGATCTCTTCCACCTCATCCTTTCTCCTTCGTTGCATCGCATTGCATCAATCTCATCCCCCGCTGCCCGATTTCCTCTGTTTTCGTTCTTGGGATCGTCCTCGTCTTGCTGGCAACCACGAAAATGGCATGAGCATCGGTTTGTTATCACTCACGATATACCTGTTCGTCCACAGCAACTGTTCGCGTCTTGCAAACGGGATCATCTTAAGCCTCATTCCCTAAAAAGACCACCCTGCCCAAGGCCCGTCTTTTGTATTCAATTGTCCGGCCCTGCCCTACCCTGCCCTGCCCTTGTACTTGACCTCTCCACCAAGCTGCCGCAGACTTGCAGGATACCAGCCACCGCTTTTCACATACTCCGCCCGCCTACAGATCCGTACATCATCTCCTCCCTAAATCGGTTCCTCGAGCCCACAATCGCCAACGCACTTGGACACGACAGCAATTCGACATCTGTCTTTTTTTTGTCTTTCTTTCCGTGTATGATTTGAGGGGATGGAATCTGAGCCAGAACAAATGGCCTCGTCGGATCCTGTGAGTGCTCACTGACGGGTCGCCCCACTAGCGTCGCGCATCACCTTGTTGATCCATCAACAAAACTGACAACCATAGGTACAACCCCTACGTCTATCCAAGAGCAGCTCTCCTCCCAAGATGTCGAGCGCAATTCCACGACCACTGTCTGAGATTTCTCCTTCCGAGAAGCGAAGGAACTCTCCTAGTTGGAAGGAGGCGACTAAGGTGAGACTCCCTACTCTCATCCCCTTCCCATGTGTTTGCGGAGAGCAGGCATGCACTAACACACCGCCTCAGAAGATGGCCTTGAACACCGACTCGTCACCATTCCAGAGCTCCCCGCTGGACGGAAAGGCCTCACCTCGGCTGTTCTGGCAGAGTAGGAACAACGAGAACGGCACATATGGCTCAGGCTCGCCGTCGCCAACCCGCCGATCCTCCATTGAGCGCCTGCAGAAGGCTTCACGCGTCAAGAACAGCAACATCCTCGCCCTCGAGCAGAAGCAAGAATATGATCCCACCAGAGTCCCTCAGGTCGAGCGACCCCTCTCGAAGGTCCAGGGCAACGCCTTCGGCGGCACAGGCATTAGCGGATATCGCGACAACAAGGCTTTTGCCCACACCAGATCAGAAAGCCAGACCAGGATCCCTCAATACAGCCCGACCAAGTCACCTCCTCCTCTGTCCGTGTCTCCTTCTTTGACACGCACTTCTCCACCCAACGGCCCGAGACCAGCAAGCAGGGATCAGGCATCCCCGACCAAGTCGTCTCTCGCAACAAGCCGGTTCAAGGGCAGTTTCGACCACGATAATGAGTTTAACTCCTCTGGGTCATCCTTTGAAGATCGTGAGCTGCCACTGGGAATGGCCCTCCATCGTCATGCCAAGAGCGTCACATTTGACGCCGCACCTCCTCAGGTCAATGAGTATGAAATGGCCACTCCAGACATTTCGTCCATCGCTTCAAGTTCTCGGGAGGGAAGTATCGACTCGGAAGACGATGAAGATGACGACGAAGAGGAGAACTATTTCATGGGTGCCGACGACCATGATGACAGTTTTGACGCGACTCTTGAGGATACTGTCAAGACGCCGGTCGTTCTCCCCGACGATTGGCGTCAGGACATGGCAAACCCTATGGATGAGGTTCTTGAGGGCAGCCCCATGCTCGACGGCTTTCACAACTTCCCTGCTGGGGAAATCCCACAGCATGATCGCACAGATTCACGCAACTCCAATGGTGACCACCGGCCCCTGCCCCCCCTGCCCCCTCCTCCGGGAATTTTCAGTGAGAGACGGAATTCGAACTCGTCGACGGGCCTTTCTGCAACCGCGGAGAGGATGATCGGGTCCTCACGGACCCTTCCATCGCCCCCTCCTGCTTCTTCATTCTCCAAGTCTGACATTCAAAACATTGGCAATGGCAAGATGACGCTAGAAGAGCGACTTAAGCTCATGATGCTGTCTGATGATGGCAAATCCGCCGCTGAGCAACAGCGAGAGCGAAGAATGAGGCGCGCTGGAACTCGCGACCGGGCGGATAGCCAGACTCCAGAAGCTGAGCTTCACGATATCGTTGCATCGGCCGAGGAGGACGATACACTCCCCGAGCTGTCAGGGCTAGGCGACTATGAGCTTCCTGAAAAGATCTCACGTGAATCCATCATGCGTCGGGTGGATGGCAATCTGGCCTTAGAACGCGAGTCGGACTACAATTTCTCTTCACCCCCACCAAGTTCACCTGAGCGTCCGCTTCCCCTGGACCCTGATGTTCCTATCCCCAGCACAGAGGACTCAGCGGCAGACGAGGGCGACCCAGGTGCTTACCTGAACCATGAAAATGGGGACGATGATGACATGTCGATCACAGACTACTATCAACGCTCTGAGTCTGGAGTTGAAGACATCGAAGACGAGGAGAAGGATGGTGCAGATAAGGCCGACGACTCCGAAAGCAACTATTCCGGTCCCGACCTGCCACCCACCCCCCAGGAAGAAAAGACAGAGGAGGAGCAACTGACCACGCCCAGGGCTGCATCTCCTACCCAGCAAGAGTCGTCAATTGACACCATCACGGAGAAGGATCTCCCAGACCTTCCCGCCAACCCAAAGCACAACCCTTTTACTGACGACCTTCAATCCTTCATGCTTCCGAAACCCGAAGAAACAGATGCTTCCAAGGAGGCTGAGGCACAAACCTTGCAGAGGCCATTCGCGCCGAAGCTTACGCTGTCAAAGCCAGAGTATGATGGCTCCGGTTGGGGTGAGCCTGATGAGGACGACGAAGAGCCTAAGACGCCAGACTCAGTCATTCACCGCCCCTTGCCGTCCTACGACGACGAGGAGGCCCTGGAAGAGGAACGTCACTCTCCAGCAATCCCTGAGACTGTTGCCACCATTAAGTCTGCAGCTGGATCAAGGCTGAAGACCCGTCCCTCTGCCACGCCCGCCGACATGGCAGCCATGAGAGAGCAGAGACGCCAAGTTAGCTGCGAGGTGCCTAGCGTCCCCCAGATTCCCGACCGCCATCGTAACCGCCTTTCACGAGACTTCGACTCCGAGCAGCATCTTGCTCCAAGCGTGACGGGCGATGAGTACATGCAGCGACATCCTAGTTTCAAGAGTCGTAGTCTCACCTTAGACCTTGACCTAGGTCTCAGTCTCGACCAGGACTTTGAGCGAGTGATCGAGGCACAAAAGGTGGCTTTTCAACAATTTTCCCCTCTTCAGTCTTCGACTACTCCCAGTCGGAAGGTCTCTAGACAAGCGTCTAGCGCCAGACTCACCAATCAAGACTCAATAAATGCTAACATCACTTCACGCAAACAGCGCGGCTACCTTATGCGACAGAACACGAAGGTTGTTGCGGCGAGCGACAAAGACACCGAGGACTTGCGCCCTTCCACCCGCTCCGCTGGTAATTCTCCAGTGAAGCAAACACGTCCCCAGTCCTGGACAGTTGAGCCGTGGAATGGTCAGATTAGGAAGAAGAGCCTCCGCAAGCGACATACAAGCACTGGCCCCGTCCCTCCTTTGCCTGGCCAGGAAAGCAACGCAACCCCAATGGGCACACTGGTAGAAGAGGACGCATCTACGGATATATCAGCCGAAGAGAGCGGTGAGCGGGGTAGAGTGTTTGTGAAGGTAATGGGTGTCAAAGATCTCGACTTACCCATGCCAAAGAGTAAGCCAGCTATCATCTCCCAATAGTAAGATACAGTGATGCTAACAGTCTTAGACGAGCGTACTTGGTTCAGCCTGACTCTCGACAACGGTGTACATTGCGTTACTACCGCATGGCTCGAGCTGGCAAGGAATGCACCCATCGGTCAAGAGTTCGAACTGGTCGTTCCCAATGACCTGGAATTCCAACTCACCCTAAATGTCAAATTGGAGAAGCCCCCGCCTCAGAGGATGGCTCAATCGCCTTCTTCACCGCGCAAGACCAAGACTTCGACCTTCAGCAGAGTTTTCGCGTCACCGAAGAAGCGCAAGGAGATGGAACTGCGGCAGAAGGAGGAGGATGAGCGGCTCGCTCGACAGCAGCGTGAGGCTCACGCCAGGAAGACTGCCGCCAATCCCACGGCATGGGACCTTCTCTCACCTCTGGCTGCCGAGGATGGCAGCTTTGCACGTGCTTACGTCTGTCTCAAGGAGCATGAGTCGAGATGCTTTGGTCGTCCCTATGTTGTTGACGTTGCCTGTTTCAACGAGTGGGCTACAGAGGAAGCTGGGTTCGCGTCCAGTGTGAAGAGCAAGCGAGGCAGTACCTCTATTGTTCGCAAAGCCCCATACAAGATCGGAAAGCTCGAGCTCCAGCTCCTCTTTGTTCCAAGGCCGAAGGGATCCACGGATGAGGATATGCCTAAGAGCATGAACTCGTGCATCCGGGAAATGAAGGCTGCTGAGGAACGTCGATCCCGCAACTGGGAGGGAAACCTGAGCCAACAAGGCGGTGACTGCCCTGTAAGTTCGCCTTCTTGCCAAGTTTATGTGAACTATTGCTGACCATGACCCTAGTACTGGCGCCGCCGTTACTTCAAGCTTGTTGGCACAAAGCTGACTGCGTACCATGAAGCGACACGCCAACCACGTGCCACTATCAACCTGGCAAATGCCAAGCGGCTCATCGACGACCGTAGGGCATTGACTGAGAAGGAGACCACCGGCAAGAATGGGAAACGTCGCCGATCAGCTTTTGCTGAGGAGGAAGAGGCTTACATGTTCGTGGAAGAGGGATTCCGGGTCCGATTCAACAATGGCGAAATCATCGACTTCTACGCCGACAGCCCCGAGGACAAGGAAGGCTGGTTGAAGGTCCTCGCGGATGTAATCGGCCGTGACAACTTCGGTAATGACGATGACGGTCTTGGTGGCTCTTCACGGGCCAAGGGCAAGTGGTGTGATCTCGTCCTTAAGCGGGAGGACACGCTACGCCGACGAGCTGAGGGACGACGCCCTAGCCATGGTCGGACCAAGAGCAGCCTGGTGTGAGGATAAGCTGGTCTTGATGCTACCCACAAGCTAGGCAAAGGACATGACGAGTTATGGAACCGACTTGATGAGCCTCAATGAAACGAACACCCCGCCACGCCTGAGGGTTTTCTTTTTTTTTCGAATTCTTCACAATTCACCGGCCTGGACAGCCGAATTTGCGCTTTGTATTTATTTCGATACACATACCCCATGGTATTGGTCTTGTTGATCGTCGGGGATTAATTGTGTTGAGGCTGCGTTGGCGTCTTCAAAAGCAGACCAGCCTGGCGAGGGATGGCGTGATGAGTGCAGTTTGGCTATGCGTGAGGGAATTGAGCGAAGGTTAGGAAGGCGAAGTGGTATTCACCAGGTGAAGGGGCACCTGGATCTGGAGTTGGTTTTCGTGTTTTGTGCTTGACGGCTGGAATTGTATTCCGGTGACGTTTCCCATCCTGAATGGGAGTATATCTTCAGTTCGCTGCCCTGATATTTCCCGGGCGCGACCCGTGGGGTAGCGGTGGCCTTCAATGTACGATATTCGAGCAATACTCATGAGAGCGAGACAGCATCGCTGCAGCCTAGAGAGCGATAATTCATCGAGTCACCATGTATTTACATTGTCCGGCTTCTAAATATTTTGGTAGTGCAAAGATTCAATCCACAGACAGCTCTCCAATGTCTTTCATATTTCTCCGGCTAGCCTTAGGACCGCTGCGCTGTTGCCTGTCGTCGATTCCACTCGACACACTCATCCAGCCTCACGCCGCTACCACCGAAGCAGTCCAGAGCGCTGCCGATGGTAAGGTCAACTGTGCCGCGGCTCAGCCTGGCTACGTTATCTAGATCCTGGAGGTTTCGGCCACCACCGGCGTAGGTCACGGGGATATTGCACCACTGGGACAGTCTGGTGATGAGCAGCTCGTCGACCCCACGCTGCAGACCCTCGTTGTCGGCGGCGTGTATGAGGAACTCGGAGCAGTAGGGTTCCAGGTTCTTTATGGACTCTATAGGGGGGAGGGGGATTAGCCTGTGTGTATGTGCGAGCGGGCGGTACGTGTATGTGTGTATGTATGTATATATGTATTTCTATGTGTCTCCTTACCTTGGTTCACCTCCATGTCGGTGATGGTCTGCCACTTGTCCATGGCCACGTACCACCTGGGCTCGGCGTCGCCCTCACCCTGCTGGCGGCGGCAGCTCAGGTCGATGACCAGCTTGGCCTTATCGCCGCCCAGGGCGCCGAGGACGGCGTCGAGGCGCGGCTGGCTGAACTTGCCCTGCGGGAAGAGGAAGGACGTTATGATGACCTACTGAGAACTCCCCACCAGAGCGTGGATGCATCATCAGCCTTCAGCCCGTTGATATGTTTGTGACTTTGATACCTTGGTAAATAGCCATTCTCAAACGAACCACACAGAGGGGGGGGGGGGGGACGCCGTCTTGCACACGGTTTCCGTTGCGCGCATACCTTGTCAGCGCCGGCGTCGATCCACTCGGCGGCGTTGGTGTCGTTGATGCCGCCGCCGACCTGCAGCCCGCCCGGCCATGCAGCCAGCGCCTCGCGCGCGGCCTGCGTGTTTCCTGGGCCCAGCATTATCACATGAGCGCCATGAAGGCCGTTGTCCCGGTACAGCTTTGCGAAGTGTGCGGGCGGGTGAGGCGAGACGAAGTTGGTCTTGAGCGAGCCCGGGGTCTTCTCGTCCAGAGTGCCGCCCACGATCTGCTTGACCTGGCCCGAGTGCAGGTCTATGCAGGGGCGGAAGATGGTCATTGTGGGCGGAATTGGGTCCAGGAAGAGGTGAGGCTGGGTCGTGTATCGTGAGTGAGGCTCTTTCACCCGGGTCTACATGCAGCACATCTCATCAAATGGGGGGGATATGGGATGAGTTCCTGCAGTCTTTGAGCGGTGGCAGGCGCTAAGGCCGCGGGCGCACCCACTGAAGCGTGCTGCGGGGCACCGTGTGCGGCTCTCCTTGCACCGCCCAACGCCGCCAAGATTTCACAAGGCGTGTCAGAAATTTCCGGCGCGGCAGCGGCTACAGCAAGGTTGACTACTCACTATGTGTGCGTGTGTGTTGTGTGTGGCCCATCAAAAATCTCATCAAGGAATAATCTAAGAAAACGCAGCTTCAACCACCACCCTCGTCCAACATTCACAAACCTCACCAGGGCTCAACAAGCGAGAGGTACTTCTCAGCTACAGTCGAGGTACATCCATCACTTACTCATTCACTTGTTCCTTGCATAATACAACCGGGGCTCACATAAGGCCGCACTTGGTCAGGCCGTGGTCGATCAAGTTCAGAGCAGAGCAAACAATGGCGCCCGGGACGGTGGTATTGGGCAAGAGAAAGCGAAGGGTGCCGGCCGACAAGGCCGCCGATGCCGACGCCAAGGCGGAGAAGGCTGCTGCCATGGAGGAAGCCCAAGCCATCTTCAGGAAACACTTTGAGGCCCAGTTCGCTCCCCTTGGAGGGTCCGGTGACGAGGCGAGCAGGCCGGCCGCCAAGGACCGGAGGAAGGCGTCTGCGGGCATGGAAGCAGATGGCGGCGACGGTGCGGCAGGGGTGGAGGACATGAGATCCGAAACCTCTGACTCTGGGGAAGACGAGGACGGGCAGGATGAGTGGGATGGCCTCTCTGCGGAGGAGGATGACGACGAAGACGAGGGCAGTGAAGGTGGGTGGCTACCACGGCTGCGACCCGGCTACTGAAACAAGCCTTTCTCCTTTCTACTTCTTGTTTCTGTTTCGGTATTACTGACACGTGCCGGTCACAGACGGCGAGGGCAATGACGACAGCAGCGAGGGAGATGAAACATCAGCAGGGTCCGAAACAGAGGAAACGAACACCCAGGTCGAGGTGGTAGACTACTCCAAGCCCACCCCGTCCCTCTCTACGCTCACGCCCCAGACCGCCCTCATGACCAAGCGCGAGATGCGCGCCTACCTGTCCTCCCGGCCGCCAGACGCCGTTTCAAGCGCGGAAGGAGGGAAGGGCAAGCAGGCGGCCCGGGCGAAACACCAGCGACAGGGAGGGGGCAACAACGACGAGGACCCGCAGAACGAGGACTCGAGGTCGCTGCTCGCCAGCGACCTAGAGCTACAGCGGCTCATCTCGGAATCCCACATCCTCTCGGCCACGAACCCGTTCAACACAGCCGCCTCGGGCGCGAGCCACGCCAGCAAGGCCTTCTCCGAGGGCCGCACGCGCGCCCTCACCACCGACCTGCGGCTGCAGAAGCTCGGGTCCAAGGACAGCATCTTCAAGCAGCAGAAGATGCCCATGGCCATGCGCAAGGGGATCCTCGGCGCCAGGGCCTCGCGCGAGGACAAGAGGCGCCGCGAGGCCAAGGAGAACGGCATCATCCTCGAGAGGCCCGAGGAGGGGGGCAGCAGCGGCAGCAGCAAGAAGGCGAGGAGGCACAAGGGCAAGGGGTCAGACCTGCCTGTCGACATGCCCGGCATGGGCAGGATGAAGGGAGGCGAGCTGCGGCTGAATAAGCGTGACGTCAGGGCCGTGGAGAGGGAGGGCAAGAGGATGACAGATTCTCGTGGGAAGGGGAAGCACCGCAAGCGGAGGTGAGCCAGGGGACCGGGCAGGGCAGAGCCGGGCAGGGCAGGGCATCAGCCCTGAACTGGGAAACCCGGGGTTTGGAACCGAGGCTGGGTTTCCCAAAAAGGATCTTTCACGTTTCTTTGAGTTACTAAGGCTCTCTCACTGCGAAAAGCGATGGCGATGGCGATGATGATGGGTGGGTGGTGGAGAAAGGAGGTCACCGCCCTCGGCCCTCAAACAACACCCCAGACAAGCTTACAAGACCGCATAACCCTCCTTCCATGATGCCTCAAGCACTTTTGACAGCGATCTGCACTAGAACGCGGCCCACGGGCTCCCCGGCGGAAACACGAACTGCGCAAATCTCCACCGATTTGAGTTAATCTCAGAGCCAAGCTTATCCCGTCAGCCCGGCCGGTCGGCCACCCCTAGGCCCGCGTACGGAGAATCCTCTTTCCAGGTCCTGTTGGTCCAGGGCAGTGAGTCTAGGTACAGCGGGTGAGTGAGTGAGCCAGTGAGTAAGATTGTGTGGGTGTGTCCCAACGGCCGCGCGGGCGGAGGCGGCTAGCAACCGCTACCACACAAAAGTCTGACACACATACACTGTTGCCGTTTTTGGAAACTCGTGCCTGAAGTTTTACCCAGCAGGAGGAGAGTACTTTGGGGTCCATATTTTTAGGTTGGGCCCTTTTTTTTCTCTTCAGGATTTAGACGCTTACGGGGCAGGATTAATACGCGGATGGCTGATTTGTCAAGAAGGAGGGGAGGGGGGCGCAATAATGCGGCACAGTGAGAGCGGAAAGTCGGCACTTGTTTCTTCGTGTGATAAGATTAAGTCGCAGCAGAAACGCCATTCATAGCTACAGTCCGCTGACAGAGTTGACCTGCCCGATGCAGCTGTCGAGATGATTCGGTAGAGGGGAAATCAGATGAAGAGTGGGAAGAGGGAGTGTGCATGTGAGTGAGCGATGAAAGGCTGGCGGAACCAGACTAGGGCGCCGCAGGAGGCCGCGAGAAAGGCACAGGAAGTAGCGAGACCCAACGAGAGAATCCTTCTGAGCTCTCTCTATCTGGCTGCTGCGGCCTTGTGCTGTGCGAGACGATGGGCTACGTCTTCAACGACCCGAGCCTAGTTTCGGATCTAGATCTGAGAATCTAAACAATGTCCTTGTCCTGCACGTCATCTCTGGGGAAACAAGGCCTAGGGCTGTCAGATGTCTCCCATGCTCGATGCTCGAACGGTCAGAATTGGCAGAAGTACTACTCGAGATAGAGTGAATGCTCGCATGGAGTAAGGGTTCAGATCGATCACATCCAGCAGAAATACGACTCCCGAGAAATTAGTGTGGCGATGTGCTGCAATGCAATGCAATGTAATTGAAAAAAGGTATGAAAATCGTCGTATTGACTGGTATGAACAAGCGGCTACCCTGAAATGAGCACATGTGGGGTTTTGTGCATGTATTTTCCTTCTCTCAACCTCGTTCCAAAACGCACAAATGTTGTCTCCGACCAGCTGGTATCTTTCATCCCGATCTGCTAGCGCCCGATGAACCGAAGACAGTTATATACACCACTTCCAGTCATTCGGTGCCGACCCATGATGCAGAAATGTTTTTCAGGGAACTCCGCAGAGAGCTGCACCCGAGTCCCGTCTATTGTGCTTTTTCTGCCCAAAATAGAACGCAAAACACAACCCCCGTGGGGGAGAAAAAAAAGCAAAAGTGTCGCCTGATGATGAATAAAACATAGCAGCAACCCCGCAAAGGAAACGCCCAGGTGTCCCGTGAAGGAAAGCCTGCCCCTTCAATCGGGAATGACACTGACCATCCGTCCCAAGCCTCGCATGAAGTCGTGAAATAAACAAAATATCCATAAATTTTACAGTACCCTTCGAACCGGAGGGAGGCGTTGCAAGGCGGTTTGATGCCTTCTTCAGATTACATCATGACAGCCGTGTGAGGTTGGCTGATGGTCATCGGCAGGCTCAGCGTTTGGAGGCTGTGGAAACCGGACTGCGAGCTGGGCATCGAAGTCGAAGGCCCGTAGTTGCCGTTCGACGTTGGCGGTGTGCCGTTGGCAACAGAGTTCAATGATGCCGTGATGTAGCCGGACTCCGAGTTTGGCGAGGCATCGCCCAGTGATCCCATGTGGTCTTCACCGGAGTACTCCTCCTCGTCCTCCCCAGACAGGTTCAGACCCTCTCCTCCATCGCCGCGATCATGAGTTCTCTTGTGTCTGTGAGGAAGGCTACGTTAGTCTCTGTTATGCGCAATGCCTTTGTGTATCCTCCTGAGCTGTTGTAGTTGTGCTGTGTCCTGTGCTGTGTGGTGACGATGGCGGTTTGCTTGTTTGGGTTTCGCTAGTCTCGGTAACATGCCACGCACACAACATGAGGATTGCTCGTCTCTTTTTTGCGACAAAAGAAAGTACAAAGGAAATGCAGTCAAGGAAAGATGGGGCATACTGTGCTAGGTTGTCTGATCTGGAGAATGCCTTGCTACAATAAGGGCAGATGTAGGGTCTCTCTTGGGTATGTGTTCTCACGTGTCTGGAAGTTTAGTCAGATACACGGTAAGGTGATCGTGTGTTGACAAAGAAAATGTTGTTCCGGTCTTACCGCTTCAGGTGCTCTAAACGCTTGAAGAGACGGCCGCAGGTGGGGATGGGGCAGGAGTGAGACTTCTGGGGGTATGGGCCAAGCTCCATCACGGTAGCAGAGCGGGCACGACGCATGACACCGTTCTGGCCTTGCATCATCCGGCGCTGCTCCTCCATGTGGCCGTTGACCATGTCATCATGAGGCATCTGGTGGTAGTCCTGCTGAAGCGACATAGGGTTCATGGCGGGGCTGCCCTCGACCGTGGACAGAGGAGTGCCGTGGCGAGAGAGCTCAAGCATCTCCTTGTGCTGCTGGCTCGACATCGACACATTGCTGTACGTCAGCCCTGGTGGGGAGTTGCCGAGCGACTCGTCGCCCTCAGCAACTGGCCCTACCGAGGCAGACACAGATCGTCGGAGATCAGAAGGACGGTGCTGAGCTTGGGCAGCAGCCGTTGCGGTGGCGGCAGCGACAGCTGACATTCCCGGGGGAATGGAAGAGCGGCGCCTTCTCTGCTTGTAGGTCGGTGAACCTTCAATCACGGAGTAGACGTTGTTGGCGCCGTAACCGCGGGAGAATTGAGTTCCAGCCAGGTTTGATGGTGGCAGCTGGATCATACCATTCAGGCCGTTGACACCGTTGATGTGGTCAGGGATGGCGGTGTAAAGGCCGGTCTCCTCATTAGCAATGTATGCAGGCTCAGCGGACATACCCAACGCCTGCTGGGGTGGTGTGATAGGCTCGAATGAGATTCCCCGGTTGCTGTAGTCCTCGTACTGTGACGAAACAAATGAGGGCGCAGGTGAGTACTCCAGTCCGTACGCAGGCATCGAGGCGTGGCGTTGATGACCCTGGGTGATTGGGACACCATTTTGGTTGTACTGGACCCGGTTGAAGTCGGGCTCCCGCTTGACCATGGTTGGGGGCATTTGGGGAGCCATCGTCATGGCGCCGTATGGAACCATTGCCTCCATCCCGTCAGAAAGAGGTGCCATCGTCTGAGGCATCATCTGGGGTGGTGGCATCGCGTCGACGGCGCGCATGACTGGCGAAGTGGATTGAGAAGGAGGGAAAGTCTGCTGGGCGTTGAAAGACGAGGAGTTGGCTTGCTGGGCCTTGGTAAGCTGCTCGTACAGCGACTGAGACGAGTCGTATTGGAAGGACAGAGCAGGCTCGCTGACGGCGACAGTGGTGGCCTCTTGACCCATCTTCTCCCTCTTAAGGTCCCTTTCCAGGGCATCCAGGAACAGTCGGTCGTGAGGGACGCTGTACCAGTAGAAAACCTTTTGCTTCTTCTGCGTTCGAATGCAGTTGTTCTTGTACAGGAAGTCGAGGAAGGGGCTCTTGGGCTCCTCCAAGGACGCGTCAGTGCCAGACTTCAGATTCCGGAGATCAGAGAAGATGCCCTCTTCGAACTTCTTGGAGTTCTTGACAGGACGACCGAAAGCTTGGAATCTGAATGAAAGGCATCGCACGATGTCGGTTCCGGAGATGTGGAAGAGGTTGTTCCATAGCACACATGAGACATATTCGCCCGTGGGAAGGAGAAATCGTCGGATGTACTGATCTGGTTGCCAGTCGACAGGGGCGGAGATGAGAAAGTATTTCACTGAGCAGGCAGGTTAGTTACGCCACTGGGAGCAGAACCGATCATCAAAGACTCGGTGGCTAGAAAGGGGGCATACAATTATCAACCTGTTGCAAAGCAACCTGTGCGTCGTGTGGCAGTGCTTGTTGAGCTTCTGTGCTCAGCATGAAGGTCTCTGGTTTTTGCGGTGCAGCCATTGCGCCTGCTTGTGAATACATGATGGGCACGCGCCGCGGACGGGGGCGTCTCGTTCAATTAAACCGGTCTCTGGTGGGATGCGGAGGGGGTCCAACAAAGTAGGACGTGGTTGGATGGCGAGATGGTGGATAGATCCGCAAAGATCAAGACGGCACCAAAGCGTGTTCGGATCGTCGCCAATTGAAACACAGGAAACGGGCAAAGGGAACAGGCGACGCGGTGATCGTCGTATGCAGGTTCGTGTCGCAGCCAGGCGTTGAGGAGTCAATCGTCGTGCACAGCAGGGTGTGCCTGATGGTCGTGGAGGGCGAGATTGACGGTGGTGATGATTGATGTGATGATTGATGTGATCGAGTCCAGCCCGGGGGGAGGGGGGAAGAGGAGATAAATTGCACAGGAGGTACAGAGAGTCGGCCACCAATTGCGTCTAGCGAATTTAGTGGGTGGGCGTGCGCTGGCTGAACCGTCAAGGCACAGGCAATAGCGCGAAAGGGAAAAGATAGGGGTTGGGATTGGGGGAACTGTGGGTCGGGAATGTCCTCGAAGCGCGCCGGAGAACCGTGCTGCCAATATCCGAAGCGACCCGCAGCCCAGATGCGCTGTGATGCGATGCAATGCACGCTCGGCTCGACAAGCTTG